TGAGGGGGGTCACGGGGGTCGAGCGGGTCACGGGGGTCGAGCGGGTCGAGCGGGTCGAGCGGGTCGAGCGGGTCGAGGGAGCATTTAGGATATATTGTGGTGAGTGGTGCGATTCAAATTTTATTACTAATAACCACGTTGAAAATATATGTTTTCAGATTCTAGTTTGCCTTTACATGCTATTATACATTTACGTTATATCTGTCTTATTTAGTTATTGTGTTAAAATTTCAAAATAAAACTTTTTCTAAGAATATTGGTTGATATCAATTTGAAATTAAATCTAGTGTACTGTGTGTCTACAGAATTGTATATATTAGCATTTTTAAATTACTTGTTCTTTTGGATGAATAAATTTACTATTTCATTTACAACTCGTACAAATTTTACAAGAACTTTTTAAGTATTGTGGGTAGATAAATTGTTCTTGGTTTGATCCCTTAGTATCGATTGCCGTGTTATAATTTTTGATAACATACAACTTTGGTTCATCTGTTTCAAATAAAATGAATCAATAAAGTTTTAATTCGTTTGTTTCAAGAAAAAACTGACCGATAAACTTATCCCACTTGTATTTCAGAACTAGCTTTTGAAAAAGAGTGTTTGTTTCACACATATGCTATTTTGTCACCATAGTTCATGGGAGCTGTCAAGTCTTACATGCACCATCTGATTAATATCTGAACTCATCGTTCATAAGTATTACGTGTTCCAATCTTTTCCAGTCATATATAATCTTTCTAGTGTAAACTTCAACGTCTGCAGACCTCAAAAGCTTACCCTGACACTATGGATCAACGACCGTAAACAAATTCTGCAATTATAAGCTCACTGCATGAAGAAAAATAATTATTTTGACGTCTTCCAGTACTACAAGAGGTTCCGATTAGAAAATGCGCATGTATTTGAAATATATTGTATGAACTAAAACGTTTATTTCTAGGTGTCGAATGAGTCGAAATTCAAACATGTGAGCAGCTGGTTTTTATCCAATATTATTATTATCATCATAACATATCGTATTGACAAAGTTTGAATAACGTATGTTTCATAGTTCTCATGTGAGCGATTGGTTCCTGCATAGGAAAAAGTGTATGACGTTACTGTCAAAAGTTCCTCTATTTTTGGATATGCCCTTAGTATGGAAAGAATAAAGACAAAGTATGCATGTGATTGCTGCGTTCAGTTGAATTCTATAGAACGTGCTTTGCACAAAACGAGTTTCATAATGAAACAACGACAACTCATCTTCATGAACAAATTAATTGTGCGTTCCATTTTTTTGCGATGAATAATGTTATCAATTGGATTTGATGGAGGATATGCTTCATACAGTGTTCGTATTCGTTTTTCTGATAGTTCTGATAACTGTCCTTGGTTCCAAACAGAGAGATTTCTAATTGAATTGACAATTATGCGTTGCTGATAAAACGCAGCTTCATCGTTTTGGGATATTCGATAAGGACATCCTTTTTCATTTTCGATTCATCAAGTGATGTGTTCTATTGTTGTCGTCAATTCTTGTTGAAAATCCTGATTTGTCTGTTTCTCAAACCATAGTTTAGTTTTGTAACGACTTTGAATGCCTATATTTTGCTTATGTTGCGCTCCTCTACCGCCAAGATCGTATTTATTCAATGACAATCAAAGCTAATCATCTGCTTCGAAGATGAGTTCGACAAGAAAATGAATCGGATCAAACTATCGTTCAGATACTATTTGAGAATTTTTTGTATTGATTTGTCAAAAAATGCAAAACGAGACAAATCAATCAGGCTTTAATGATCAAACATCCATTTGATTCGAAGCATGTCTCTTTTGAGTTTGTCGTCATGAATTCATTTTGTTTTTGCACTATTGGACGACATACATTAACTGCTTTATTTCGTGATTTTCAGACCGATTTGAAAAGAAGAAATATTTTGTTTTCTCTTTCTTTCTGAACGCTTTGGACACATGATATGTTACATCTTTGTCGAAAATAACTCTCTTATCGCTATAATTGTTTCTTTTCGCATAGACCTTCGAACGTGATTTATGGGCGGACGGACAAATAAACAGTCCAGCTTGTATGTGCAACATCTACAGTATATGTAGGAGAAACAAAGAATAGATGCTTGTGTGTCCTTCGTTTGTTGATTATGACGAAAACGATACGATCTTATTTGAGAAAAACTAGTTTCGACGAATAGACCGTCCAGATCGTCGCCCATATATATATATATTCACAACCAATGTGTATTTGCGATCATTTTCATAAGTCATAAGTTGGTGTTCAAGTGTCGCTATCTTTTAATTATCTGCACATCGTTTGGTAGCGACGACGACTACTACTATTAGCCGTTACGTGAAACATTTCTCCTTTACAACTGTAAGTTGCTTTGATTTGTGTAGAGATTCTATCTAGAATGTGACTGAGCTGTACAGCATAGCTAAGGTTTTCCATTATTCGTTTACTTGCTGAACGCTTGTGAGCGGAAAAGCCGAGAATGCTAGATGTATTAGAAGTTCTTTAACAAATGTTTCGCTATCAGAAGAAGAGTCATCGTTTCTTTTGCAGGTATTGCCACAGGTTTCGTGTTTTCAACTGCCTTTAGGTTTTCCTGGTGTCGTCGATTCACTAGACTTTCAACATTTATTCATCATGGCAAATAATCAAACACCATCACCAAAAGATTATTCAGCCTTACTCGATTATAATTTTAATCAGTTGAATAATCGACCTTTGCTGGATGCAAAATTGCTTTTGGATGGCGATCAAGATTGGTTTCTACTCGAATATTTGGATGAAATGGAACTTATGGGTTTTAATCATGAACAAACTCTCAATGCTCTTCTTAATATGATTGGCAGTTTATCTAACAATTCATATAGTCGAAATCTCTTGAATGGTTCTCCAGTTTGGCTTAACATTTTTTCACACGTTCTTGGTGCAACAGGTGTGTAAAGCTCGTACAGCGTAGTTTGACTTGACGTCATCAAATAAAAATATTCAATCGGTTTGAGTATTTTACAAATGACCTATGTAACGAATTCTTTTCTCATTTAGGCAGCAATAAAAGTTATCTCGCAAATGAAATTATTCACAGTCTGAAGATATTGGATAAAATGTATCCAGGTGTTTATTCCAATCGACAAGCATTACACGACGTCGATGGTGATGAAGAACCACCAAGAAAAAAGCCGAAAACTGACCCATGGTCATTCGTTGCTAGCAGCGTAACTGAAGCAGCATTATCAAAGACCACAAATTACACAGATCTTATGGTGATTAATCCAGATGGCGACAATGCGTTGAAACTTCTTTCTTACTATGATCAGAATACCATTGGCGGTGCACAGGGCGTCAGCTGCTTTTGTAATGCTTATGACGGAATTGAACCTGGCAGTAACCGTGTCACAGGTGTTGAATTATCTTCAAATGAACGTGACAGACCCTCCAAAATGTCCATGTATGTCGTTAGTACCGGAAAGAAATTATCTATTCCACTTATCAAACTGACGGAGGAAGGAGCCAATGATGGAATTTATGGACGAGTGTGGTATACACACAGCAACACAGTTCGTCAATTACCGAATATTTTAATTCAAAAACAAATATCATTGCCAAACTTCACGCATGTTGCGTTAGGTTGTCACAGCTTCTTTCAAGATCGAATCATTGAATTTCGTTATGGACTGTACAGATCGGATTTCGATTCTCGGCCTCGAGGTGAGTCTGATTCATTATTCGAACATTTTTCTTTAATACATGTATGTGCATGCTGTTAGATCTGTGTGAAAAGATTGAAAGAAATCATGAGCATTTTTATTCTTAGGTCACATCAGTGCACAAATGCAAGATGCTCGACGTCGACAAAATGTCAATCTACCAGAATTCCACGGTATTGCTATGGATGAACAAGATATCGTACAACAACAGCCTCGTGGCACTGGCAATTCTAGCGATGATTCCATGGAACAAGCGTCTGCTTTTGAATTAGTAACTACATATGTAAATCAAGTGTGGAGTGAATCATTTACTTTGGAAAAACATGTTGGTGAAATGTGGCGAAAAGTGCCATATCACTTACCGAAAGCAATTACAACAATTAAGGTCCTCAGAATCTTATTCCGAATAATGGGCGATAATCTGTTGTTTTATCTTAACTCTCAAGAAGGTAGTCGATCTTATCAGACAAAATTAGTCTCCAACATGTTTATCAACACGCTTAATGAAGTTTTAAATGACTTTTTCGTACGGTCAACTCGAGCCATTCAGGTCAATAAACAAAGAATTTCTGTTCTTCTGTTAACACCAGATGATGTCGAGGTTGGATATTCATGGTGTCGATGGAAATTAGAAACGACTGCAATGTTGTTTTCGACGAACAATATCGAACAAATTATTAATGAACGTGCAAAAAAGACTATCTCCAATTCAGTTTCGAAAAAGTAAGCGATTTATGATTTTATAACGAAGTCATCCAGGCGGAGCTCACGGAATAATGATCCGTTGATAGAATTGAGCATAAACGATAACTGCTATAAATAATTTCGCCATGACAACTCTTTTTTGTCTTTAGATCAACCGATCAACAACGAATCGGTAACGCCATGACGAAAGTTTTATTGACTCCAACGATATTCTTTACGAACAGTTATTTATTCAGCAGTTGTGTTCGTGGAGGCAGTGGTCTATTTATGCAAAAAAAGAGTACCGATCTCAAGTATGATATAGTGGTGGAACATTTATTGGCAGATGGATTGATTATGAAATGTGACGTGATCCAAGGGGCCCGCACACCGACAAATGCTAAGGTGTCACCGTCCTATTATAAACAGCCACCATCGTATTTTGAACAATCCGACTCACGAATGCAAAAGCTTCAAGTACGTGTCTCATTCATGAATTCCCTTTTAGATGAGTTCAGTTATGATCTGTAGAAGTAGAGTTTCATCTCAAAATAATGAGATAGTCGTTTTTCATATGTAGAACTTGGGAATTGGTTTCAATGAATACGAAAAAATGTATTTAAATTCATCATTACCTGCAAACATGTGTTTCAATAGCAACGGCATTGAATTGATAAAGGGTGACGAATGGGTCCAATTTTATCACACATGTCTTAGTGATGCAACAGCTGCATTAATGATTGAGACCAGAACCAAAATGAATGAAATTATTCACGTCAATGGGCGTTTTCATTTAACGAATGTGAATATTGGCCCTACTGGAACTGGATTCGAAACAATTACAAGTTGTAGTTGAATTTTTGGATCGGTAGATAATCTGTTTACGTTATATTATAGATGATTCAAGTCAAGAGCAAGTTGAAACAATTCCTCGCAGACTTAATTCAAACAACGGTTAGTCATTTCGATGGATGATGTATGTTTTCACTGCTGTCTTTATCTCTTTGATAGATAACAATCTTGAACAAGGAAATTCTTTTTTGACTTCACCAGATTCCTTCACACTCCAGTGCTTAACAACAAATCAAGTTGGTCAAAGTATTCAAAAAATCGAATCTGTAAATGAACGAAAACAAGCTTTGGATATGTTTAATCAAGGTACTCATTTGCATTTCATTTGACTCATTGAGTAGTACAGCGATAAAGGAAATGTCAGTTTTCTCGTCAGTCGGATCTTTGTTTTCTACTCTATGCGGTAATACGAGCTTCATGAGTGTAGAAAATTCTGAATTCTTTCCACTAATATTTGTTCGCATCTATACTAAGTCGTGTGTAAAGTGTTGCATATTCTAACGCAATAATTAATGGAGTCGAATGAGTTGAAACAACTCATAGTTTTCGATGCAATCACACACTCAGTCAATAAATGGCAGAATTTCTGTTCATTCATTACTAGATAACAATTTCCATCCACGATCTCATTCAACACCGGTTATCAATGACGATCATGAACGTTCGCCGTCGACTCACTCACCACGTATGTGAAAAATAAACTTTCTATCAGATAAATAATAGTTCTTTTAGTTGATCCAGTGAGCGCATCATCGAATCAGCACAATCCCGGAGTTGCAATGCTTCTACCTACAAAAAATGACAGCGATTGTCCTTCATCTTCTACAGATGCAAATATTTCGGCACATACAATGTCAACTGTTTTATCTTTTTCTTTACAAAATGAGTCAAACGATTCACTTAATACGGTAATTGAAACGCTCAACAGTTCATCCATTCAATTGGGTCCAGTCGTTCCGAAGAGTGAGTGAATTTTTTCTTCTCTAAGATAGATGATCAATTTTGATTCGCAAAAGTAATCTAATTCTGTCTCCTTCTAGTCATTGGCGAGAATCGAATCACACAACAAGAGCAATCAAGTACGAATGGTAAATATGTTGTATAACATTCCTAAGTCTTGGATCATTTGCTTGTAGAAATTATCACCGATGTTCTTCAAGATTTGGTCGATGTTGCATCGATACAACGTGATTCACTTGTCAACAGCCAATTGCCTATTTCAAGTACGTGAAAATGCTCAAATAATACAAATACTTCGAGTCAGGAATAAAGGAAACAAATATTCGTTAGAAGTCATGTACTATAGAGTTTGATGCTATGGAAGGAGTGAGAGATAACATCTCTCTCAATAACATAATCTGATAACTTAGAGTTGTGTTTTAGCGTCAAACAAGAAACGTGGTCGTCAATCGACTTGTAAATCAAGTACTTCTTCCGTCAATGAGTCTGGTAAAGCAAAAACGTTTCGATAAATGACGCATCAGTTTGCATTTTATTATATTCTTTAGATATTCTCAATGTCGTGGAAGATAACCGTCATCCAATCTGGAGAAAACTCATTCTAAATAAACATGTCTTGGCTTCCATGAGCGATCTTTCACGAACTGTAGTCGGTAGCAATGAAATAAATGCATCACGTACGAGATGTATAGAAAAACTGCTGAATATTGGTTTGTTTTTGAATGGTGATGCATTTTTAAACGGAAAAGAAAAATCGGTATTGAAGAACTCACCTGAAGATCCTCGACTCATCTCGATACTTGACACCTATGGCATTGATATGGACGAATATAAAGCATCTTTCAATAGCAATTCTTCTTTTGTATACAATGATGATGTGCCGATTCCTGCTGTTCCCAACCACAGAACAAACAAAAACAAATTTACACAAGCATTCGTCAACAAGATCCAATCTGATGCATTTTACTCTACTCATCTTCAAATTGATCCAGCACATGTGTTGCAATCATCGGTATTGAAAAGGAAAACGACTTCAAACTATAGTGAGTAAGTTTGTTGGGTCTGTCACATCCTCACACTCTGTTTTAGAGACCGATTTGTTCCGACAACAAAAGCAACAGAAAAATACTAAGTAGGTGTGCCAACCTATGCACGATATATCGAAGTTTCTGTTGTATGTGTACATTTCTGTGTATAATTTTTCTTGTTCACGTCACACTCTTTTCTCGATATGTATCTGATTTCATTTCGTTTATCATATCTGTAGATATCTGTTGAAATTTTGTATATATTGTTTTTCTAATAGTTTACTTCGATTAAATTTCTCTTCTCATATACATGCAAATGTATATGCATTGTTGTTTTCTATTTTGTAATATTCAACAGTTTTTATTGGTTTTTCGCATTACTCCGTTGCGTCTGTAACGATGTTTTTACTTACTGAACACAGCATCTTTTCGATTACAGAAATCAAACGTGGTTGACTGCTGATCTCTTTCTTCTCGATATTTTCCTGTTGCCTTTTTCATATTTTTTCATTCTCTGCGAATCTCACAGCTGATTGATTGAAAGAGGAATAATAAAACGAAATGAACTTTTTACTCTTGTTTTATAATCAACTTTTATCACTATCTCTCTTTTAAATCAGAAAGAGGCGATGTTTCACGACGAACATGATCATAACAAACGTCAGACTTTTCTACCATCTCAGAGTTATAACAAACAGAATAAAAAATGACTTCTATTTGTTTGTTTTTCAGTGAAAATGACGGATACCAAGCAACGACTGGTTAGTTTACTTACCATTCTGTCTGTTAGAGCAGCTCGATTGCTTATTATGTTCGAGCAATGTATGCCGTCGTCTTTGAACCCTAAGAGAACACCGTTGTGTATGGCTGAAAGAAATGAATTTGCTCGTGCACTAATTGAACAGGAATACCAAGAATCCTATTCATTCGACGAAATTCTCCACTGCCGAAACATTATTAATTCCAACATCATTAGTAAAACAGAGATGGGCGTTGGTATTGATTTAAAAGCGGCAATTGATCGTTTCAAACTGCATCATCCAACTAATACCTACATACAGAATCTTAATATTTTGTCCCTTCTTCCTTATCGAACACAATGTAATAATTTGCGTAATGGTATTGAATGTGGCAATCAACTTCGACTGGATCTGCACATGACTGCTTATGTCGTTTACCCAACGAGTATTCAACCGTGCACCTTGTATAGTGCTGATTGCAGAAAATGCAACCGAAGTTATCGAGTATCGTCAATATACTGCATAAATGAGCGAAAATTTATCATTACTCCAGAAGCTCTGCATAAGAATCAATATTTTCATTTATCATCTGGCAAACTCGTGTACTCAAGAGAAATGCTCGTCTCTTTCTCTTCAGATCTTGTTAATGGGCATATTAGCTTTCATGGTGCTGGTACATCACTTTTGTCGAAAATTGAGCGACTGCAGCCTGAACTTCTGGTGAAAAAGTTTGATGTGGTGCAGTTGACCAGATCATTGGAAGCTCATTGGATTTACTTCGAGTTATTTCGTCTGATGTTTATGGCCAGTTCAGAAAATGAAATTACTGCGCCACGAGCTCTCTTTTCTGGTGAGAAATAGTCACGAAAAATACCTTGTGATCGGAAACCTATTGATTGTTTAGCACGGAATACAGTTGCAGCTGGTGACCAAATGAATGCAAAAGCACAATTCTTAGAAGAACATTTAGATTTGATATACAATATATTTAGTGTTTTTTGGTCAAATCATGACTTAATAGCAGAATGTCGATGTGAAAAATCAATGTGCTGCAAAGTATTGATTGTTGACGGCCATCAAAAACCTCGTCGAACAATTTGCCGTTACGATAATGTTACATCTCTCATAAATGAAGAAGAACTCGGTCCGTGCAACAGAGGTTGTCCATATCAACCGAGAAAACGAACAAATATTCATACCGCTAAGAATAGTGAGTATTACGATGCTATGAAGAATTTTATCACGAGAAAGCCGGATTAACAGTAGCTTACTTGAGTGCTGTGCTATCGAATGAATTGATAATAAATCAATATCCGACTACTAACTGCAGTGCATTTACTTCAGTCTATTTCATTCTGAAATCCATTACTTTATTTAGTCGGAAAGAATTTTATCTCATTTGATTTTTTAATTTAGAGCCATCCCCATTTTATTGCATTTATCATCAAGATTTGACTGACAAGCAGTCAGCCTATGCTGAAGAAGATTGCAATCGAGACCGAGCATGGTTGGCACAATTGAAAGAAATGAGAGATCAGAGCAAGCAAACGGATGGCAATGAAATGGATGAACAATGCAACGTGATCAGATTAGGTGACGATGAAGAGCTCGAAAATAAGCGCAAAAAGCATGGGCTTCTTAGCATCTTTTTATCATGCGGCGTTGTGATTGGATTTACCGAACCAATAAACCATGAGGGTGTACGAAAGATTACTGACCATCTATTAACTATGATCAAAATGGGTGTCAAAATGCCGAACGCATTAATTTACGATTCAGCGTGTAATCTGAAGTTATTCTGGAACAAAAACTTCGGTAGCGTCCATTTGAAAGAAACTCTGTCAAGTAGGATCTTATACAATATGCGAATTGCTGTGGATCGATTTCATATAAAAAACCATGTGCATAGCATGTGCAAAACAATTACTAATCCCGACTGTCTATTAAATGGTAATGATGATATTTACAATGGAATCAATACAGTTCTGGCAGAGCAATCGTTTCGTTATCTAACCGAGTTTAAACTTTCGATACGTCGCTTGGCTTATCCTACCTCAACCATGTTTAGCATATTATTGTTGCATCTATGGAACTGTCGTAATACAAAGATATCACCTGACTGTCTTGGTTTAGCAAGCAAATACTTTCGTGAAAAAGTCAAACCATTATTTCTTACATATTGTATATTCGAAACAACACAACTGTATCAGAAGAAATCTGGTTCAACGTTCTCGTCATCATCCTGTTCTGAAGACCAAGTTGATGAACAAGATGATAAAATGGATGTGGATGATGATCTCGGACAATTGGACTATGATTGTTTTGTAAAGTTAGAACAATTTGCTTGGGATTCCGATGAAGAAAACAACAACAGCGGTGATATCTAATTTCATATTTATGTCATGCTTAGTCAGTTTGCTGTTTACACATTCATTACATATGTCATATCTCGATGAAAACCCTCAAAGAGACGATCTATGTCAAGCAAGTTCTTGCTCAACTCTTGTACACTCATCAAAAAGAAGTCAATTCAATTTCCTTCTTCAATCTTTTCATCTGTTTTTTGTTGTAACTTGTTTCTGTAAGACATTACGAGGATGTTAGGTTTGTTAACAATCATATTTTTTTGTGTGAAAGTAATGGTTTCATTTATTTGTATTGTCTACTGCTTGTTCATTTATTCTAACGGCTTTCTTTTATTTGTACAGATGATGTTCTACATATGTTATAGCACACGATCTCATGTAGTATCCTTCATAATATTATTGAGATGGAGTCTTTGCGATGAATTGGTTTAAATAAATAAAGATATAGTTCAGTCAGCAAACAGTCGAAGTCACATTATTCTATTAAAAGGCATATTCTTTTGAAAGCTTGAAAGAAACGATCGAGCATCGTAAGTGATATATTCCACGACCACATGTCTTGACATAATTAAGACTGCAGTTTAAAATCATAAATATTTCAAGCATCTTATAAATACAACTTTGTTTTGTTTGATGTAACGAAGATACTCTCTGAATCAACAGCTCCCGTTTATTTTCCAGCTAGCTCTATTTCGTCGTCACGAGTTCGTGCAACACTTAGAGCTCCATGATGTTTTAAAACTTGAACACAGCGTGCCTTTCGCTTATATGCCAAAATAGCGCTGAAAATTGCTTGAAGTTGAACCAAGAACATTTTGCCGTGCCAACGTTTCATATATCGAAGCAAATTTTCATCTTGCCGATAACAAGATAGTAAATAAAAGCCCAAACTGTTCGTGCCACGCAACCCGGTACTTGAATCGGTAAAAAAGAATTGAAACATGTCTTCTATGATAATGGCAACAGGTTTTTCTATGACTAAACAAGGAACGATTTTCCGAATACCCTCCATGACCCGCTAGACCCCCACGACCCGCTAGACCCCCGCGACCCCCACGACCCGCTAGACCCCCGCGACCCCCTAGACCCCCGCGACCCCCTCGATCCCCCCACGACCCCCTCGCCCCCCACGACCTCCACGACCCCCTCGACCCCCACGACCTCCTCGATCCCCACGACCTCCTCGATCCCCACGACCTTTAGACTTGCTATAACCTTGACTCATAGGTAACGTTATATCTCATCTCTTTTGGTCGCCCTTCGTCTGTACATGCTTGCTTAATCATTTAAAATCTTGAGTGTAACCATGCAGCTACAGCAAAGACACAGAGTAAATACAGATAGATTATTTAGACTGAGTAGATTGTAAGCCAGCAACCAGTGATAAGAAATTCTATTGGGGCGATTAACATTGAAAATTCAAAGCATTTCAAGTGTCAAACATTTTATATTCGCTATATTTGCCGACTCGAATAGATGTTAACAAACTCTTTTTATCTAATGAAAGGCATCATCTTCGTATATCCGTAACCCCACTGCTTTTTAGATAAGAGGAAGGCGCTTTTTTTTCTAAAATTCAATTTGAAATACAAAAAACCATAGACTCGTCTTACACGTATTATGAGAGGATAAATTAGACTATATAAGAAAAGAGAAGAAAAAGAAGCTTTTGTATATTGAATGTCAATATGTACACTATACTACAGACGTCTATTAATAAATGGAGGAAGATCGAATGTGTATATTCTGTTCTGCTGTGTATTTTCATAATTCAATTCGGTTTCGGTCTATCAAACTCTTATCGAACAATAGTAAGGGCACAAATGCAGTTTAGTCACACACCGGCTATTGAAATGTGCCGACAAAATAGGAAAAAAAATCCATTCGCTTATTATTTTAATCAAAGGACAGAGAAGAGAGAAAAGAGATATATGGACGTCGTATAAGAACAAAACAGAACACATGAACGTGTTACAAGTCGAACTGCTCTATCAATCAATATAATCTGTAATTAAAATAGAAGAATTATTTGATGTAAAAGATTAAGATAACCCAATAATAATCAGAACTTCAAAATACATCGAATAATTATGAAACAATATATGATATTATATACATATAGCCAGTATTTTCATTGCATATACACAACATTTTTCTATAAATCATAACTATCATAAATACTATCATTGATGTCGACATCACTTGCGATCATCTTCATACGATTAACACCACAACACTTCATAAATTAACATTCACTAATGATTTTGTATAGCTTCTATCATACATTCAGATGAGTGGAAAGCGTATAATGATTTAAAGAACACCAGAAAATATTATTCACATCGTACTGTGAATTACTCTATTCATTTTGTCTACCCAGCAACTCATGTACATACTCAATTAATAGAAAAAATCTGGATGTGTTTAAAAAAGAAGTTAAAGAAACAATGTGAAATTGTGAGAAGTTTATTACCTACATACTTGGAAGAATTTGTTTAGCGTCAGGATTTCGGCGATAAGCCTTTTGAAAATATTATTACGCAAATTGTAGAAGATTATCCCAGTTCATTAAATGTTCATTTTGTTTCTTTAATAAATACCATTTGTTCTATTGTATGACATATACACTGGTCGCCAAGATTATCCGACTGCATGTGATTTGCATTTTAAAGGTTTTGAAAAACTATGATTTTGGTATCTGGAATGTTCTGTTGTTTTTAGAAACTTATTAGAAACCATCATTTTATCATATTATTGTCGGCAACAAAGTTCTTTCATGAAATCACTCTTTGGATTTCTTCTAACATCATCAGTTACGGAATAATATGCAAATCACATGCAGTCGGATAATCTTGGCGGCCACTGTATATTTCTTTTCTCTCCTTTCTTTTCTTTGATTAAAATAATAAGCGAACGAATTTTTCTTTGTCATTCTGTCTGTCGCCTTATTTCAGTAGGCGGTGTGACTAAACTGCTCTTGTATTTACTCTTGTCACGCACCAACGACTAGTAACTATCATCGCTTGGTGAATTAAAAGAATTAACAATCATCATGGACCTAAGAAATATTTCTATACAAACCAATTCAGGTACGGTATGTTTTTTCTATGAAATAGAAATTGATCTTTCTGGCTATTTTTACATCGATCCCATTCAAGTAGTGAGTGTTGAGCGCTCTCTGTTAATCATCGAAAAACATAGCTGATTTTTCGAAAGCCCATATTTTGATACTAGTCTTTGTTGTTCGATTTGATTGTTTGAAAAGCTTGCTAAGGTTGTTAATATTTAATAGCATCATGGTGTAGTAGCGTACCCAGGATTCGACCGGTGACCTGGCAGTGCCTTACGAAAATTTTAAAAACTTACTATACCACTTGACAATTATCTATTGGCTCAAAATCAATAGTCTTTTTTAAGAAAAAAATTATTTTAGTGCGAAACAAACTCATTAAAAGACATTATATGAATAAACAGTTTGGGCTGTAATAATTAATTTTTTAAACAAGCAGTAACCCAAGGTCGCAAGAAGTCGGAAAAAAAGAGAGAGTGTTGGTATTTCCTGCAAAAGTTTCAGGAAACTACTGGAATTCTGAAGTATTTTCAGAAATTCTTTCAGACTATTGGAAAGTTTTTTCAAAAATTCTGCTGTTTTTAACGGTTTTCGAAGATTTCTTAGCTTTTTGTACAAAAATTTCAGAAAATTGGGAAAACTAGCGAGCAGGAGAAGCGAAGTTTCCAAAGATTGGCAGAACATTGGGATCCTAACAACGTCTATAGTGTGACACTTCTGACGCTAATAATATGTGTTCTATATTCAATTATTCTGTACTAGATTTCGCTAATTTTAATTTTAGTCGACAAGCTCGAAATGACGTATCTTCTCTTTAAATTCTATAAACTAATAGTTTGTTCATAGCTTAGAAACGTGATCACTTTGGCAACGATGTGAATATCTATTCATATCTGATTTGTCCAAGCTAAAAACATCAGCTGTATGATCATTGAAAAATTTCCATCTATGAACTACTCTAATTTTTCTTTCTTTTCCTAAGCTCTGGATTGAAGCGGCGACCCAAATTTTCTTCAGTTATGGTCTTGGATTAGGAGTTCTTGTGGCATTAGGTAGTTACAATAAACAGCGTACGAATTGCTACAGGTGAGCGTCTTTCATTGATAACTTTGATTGAATAATGAGATATACAATCGGTAACTTAGAGATACACTCCTGTTAGCAGTATTCAATGAAGCAACATGTTTGATCAGTGGATTGGTTATATTTTCTGTCATTGGGTTTTTAGCTAAAACAGAAGGCAAAGCGATTAATGAAGTAGCTGAATCAGGTGAACAATTCATAATAATTTCACATTTAATCATCATCATATGATCGTTGCTTTGTTTCCAGGTCCAGGTTTAGCATTTGTTGTTTATCCAGCTGCTGTTGCTCAACTACCGTTTTCACGCCTTTGGTCAGTCTTATTTTTCGTTATGCTCATCTTCATCGGTCTTGATAGTCAGGTTTGATTATTCATATTGTTTTCGAATTCGATAATTGTTTTATAATCTATTCACATAATAGTTTGTTGCGTTGGAAGGTTTCATTACAGCATTTGTCGACGAATGGTTAGTCTTTCGTCGTCATAAAAAACTTTTTATAGCTGTGTATTGTGCCATCTCATATGTAATAGGTTTATCAACAGTCACACAAGTAGATCATTTTGTTCAACCTTTGAAAATATTACTCTTACTCAATTTCATCTGTTGCATCTAGGGTGGAATGTACGTCTTCAAGATTTTTGACTATTACTCAGCGAGTGGTTGGTGTTTGCTTATTGTACTGTTCTTTGAGTGTATCGGTGTCTCATGGTTCTATGGTGCTGATCGTTTTTACGAAGATATCAATAAGATGATTGGCTATTATCCTAATCAATTTTGGAAATGGTGTTGGAAAGTACTGACTCCTCTATTATGTATGGTGAGTATATTCAGCCATATTTTCTGTGGCCCGATGATATGAGTCTATGTTTTCTACTCTTAGAGTATAGCTATTTTCAGTCTCGTGAAATATGAACCAGTTACTTACAAAAAATACCGATTTCCGAAATGGGCTGAATGTTTAGGTTGGTCTATTGCTTTGTCATCGATTGTTGCTATTCCTATTTATGCAATTGTATTTTTTGCAAGACAAACAGGGACACTGAAGGAAGTACGAATATTTTCAGTGCGTTTATTAAAAAGAGTTCGTTTTCGTTTCCTTTTGATTTACAGCGATGGAATACAGCTATACGATCAACACTCAACCGCAGTGAACAAAATGAATCTATGTTATATGGAGAAAGTGCTGCCTTGAATGATGATTCATTTTCTTGATCATACTAATAAAAATTGTCATCAAACAGAAAAAAAATCTTATAGCGAATTGCTAATCTTACAAGGTGATATACAAATCTAGATCGAATTTGAGATGCTAAGCAATATAGAAATGAAAAGGATGCATTTCAACTTTGCATTACATATAACAGAACGTAATATAAGACACTTCATAGCTTGACTCTCATGTAACAGATAAGAATAATCGATTCGTAATAAATTCTTTTCTCTTCCCCAAAAAGAGTCGAATATATTACGTATCAAAATTAGAAAGAAAAAGGTGAGCAGTTGATTCTTCATTCGTTGTTGAGAACACCTTTAAATGATTATTATGCAAACTTCTTCTACCTTTTGCGCTTTTCTTCTACTTTGCCTTAAGTATTCAGTAACATCCACGACAGCCAATTTTACGATTACAACCTTATGGAATTCGACTTTGATTACAACTCATTCACCTGTTCAAATTTCGCTATCATCGGTCACCAATAGAAGCGACCTTATTATTGAAATTGATGCTCCATTTTTTCACGATCCCGCTCCTGCAATGACACCTCCAGGGCCATTTCCAGAATTGTGGAATTACGAAGTTGTCGAAGTCTTTCTCTTATCATCATCGACAAACCATTATATCGAATTAGAATTTTCTCCTCATGGCCATTATATCGTTCTCCTTCTAGTTGATCAACGAAAACTCCTTAAACAGCTATTACCATTGCCTGAATATCGCGCGACAATACTGTCAGAAAATCGATGGGTTGGCCGAGCTTATATACCTCGTGCTCATCTTCCAGGACGCATAGATCGTCTCAATGTGTTTGCTATTCATGGGCAAGACGAAAATCGTTCCTACGAAGCATTGTATCCAGCACCAGCTGGAAGTGCTAAACCAGATTTTCATCGTTTAGAATTATTTCAACCATTTGATTTCGATCAACTACTTGACCCAAGTGAAAAAGATGGTGCCAGCTGGCAAAACCATGCCTCTCGTCCAATCGCTTTTTCGATCTTCCTACCAATATTGTTTCTTCAGGTGCCATTCCACCGGACAGTACTATTTTAGATGACTGTGATTAATAAAAAGAACTTTTAAAAAAGCTTGTTTTGTTTTATCGCCTATATGTATATTTCTGCTCGTATGAAATTTTCTCGCTCGACGCGAAGATAATGACCTAAATTCTTTCGGTCAGAGAGAAGAGTATGTTCAAGGTCGACGTGGTATCACATCACGCATGTAATCTTTTTTATAGAAATGAACTAAATGTTCCTGAACATTATCAACAGTAGGATATGTTTGATTATCAATTGTAACGTTCGTTTTGAATGAAATATGCGATAGGAATTTACCACTAAACTCAATTGAATAAATTGAACTATTTCTTGTTAGATTAACTGAGTTCGTTGCTAAGTAAAGATCAATATAAGCATGCAAATGGAAGATTTGAGTTGGTGGCGGTTGTTTAACATTCTGCGTTAAGAGGAGTGATTTATCCAAGGTATCTTTATGTACACATATACGTGTTAGATCGAGAGTCTATTGTGAAAATGAAAACAAGAAAATCATGTGAAATTCCATCGAAGTTGGCTTATCTTCTTACATGAAATAGATAGAATCCGTGTTGATACAATTCATTCTGGATGCTTGTACTACGTAAATATGTCCAATTAAAGAAACCAATATCGATATCGCGCGTCCATGGAATGATAGTTTGATTTCGTACAGCGCCAAGAAGTGATCCGTAGATAATCACATATGGTAGATTATGGCGCCGAAAAAATGCATCCAGAAAGTCAAGTGAACGTTTGAGAACATAAGCACAACATGTTTTATTTCGTGTTGTACAATTTGAAGAATGCGAACATGCTAAATACGCACACGGAGTAACATTCGTTGGAACTGACTTCGTGTAAACGCCGAATACAATTTGTGTACTAAATTAAATAGGAAAAATATTCAGGAATAGATGACAGATAAACACATGGATAAAAACAGTAATGCTTACTTCCATTGAATACTAATTGTGATAATAAATATTACGATGACAGTAGCAACTAAAATCAGTTTCAGGAGAGTAGAGGTACATTTTTTATATGTCTCTCCGTGTGAAGTTCTCATTCGAGTATCTAAGCTTGAAACGTGTCAGATTTCTGATTACGATTAATGATCTAACTTGAAGTTGATTATCGATCTTCTCTTTACATGTAACAGAATGACTAATAGCTGTAGTTAACTAGGATATCTCTGTGTGCATGGCAGTCGCACTGATATCATCGTATGACATGTAAAATGATAAGAGACAAAAAAAAACTACCCAGTGCAGCAGAGTATTTGTTCTCACGTATATTATAATCTGTCTCTTTCAGCAGATTTTATCAAAATATGAAGAATAAATATTTATCACGACAAAAAAGTCAGGTTTCTCTTCTTTCTTTGATGCATAGTGTCCATAGTAGGCGGTATCATCTACCTTCTATTCAAGCGAAAAGGTTAAAAGCCTGCTCAACAAATTCTGTGAAGTGATAACCTTGTAACTTAAGCTTTCAAGAAGGTTTTGTTTGATATTTTGTACTATCTACAGACGATTGGTTACCAAGTAGAGAATAGAAACGGAAGTCAGCGAAATTCATGTTTCGTGTTTGAATACAATGAATAGAAATGTATAGATTTGTTAGATTTGTTTATTTGCTTTGATTATCATCTTCATTGATCGTATCTTGAAAATTTCTCCAAAACCTTTTTATTTCAACGGGTGAAACATGATATTGTAAGAAAGCTGTACACTATTGACAGTTTCTAGCATAATACATCGAACGCTGCGCACCGAACATTATACCATAAGAACGAAAATGCAATAAGATATGCAGTATTATGGAAATTGATTTCGCTGGTTTATAGAGTGTGTTATTTCATTTAGGGTGACAAATTATGCGAAAAAAATATTTCGTTTTTTGCCATGGATATTTGACAACGTATGAATATGTTTTCTAATTAAATATAAATTCATTCACCATTCTTGTTGACATTCTCTAGACAGCACGCCTCTATGCAACAAAGAGAAAAAATATCATTTTGATAATCTTTTAAAAGGAACTATATGTTCAGTAGATAATGCACAACGAAACAACTATACATTTATCAATTTATCTTTAATGACACATTTGAGTAAATTATGAGTCATATGACAGTTTCACTTTGGATACAGTGTCGACCAATGATTTGCATTGAATGTCGCCTATAAAGCCAGTGGGAGTACCGGCAATGATCGACATTCTTTTATTTATTCTTTGAAAATGAGTTGCGAGTATTTATCAATAAACACCTACCTAATTAAGAGAATACATATGAAAGACTAGAATATAATCGGCTATTCGCATCTATTTTTCATTTAGATTCATCTCATTCGAGTAGACGAGCACGTGAATTGAAGAATTATGGTTAATGTAAAGTTCGATATCTCGATGCTTTTTCCAGTCAAACGTAACGACTATGCAGGATTTAAAATTTCGATGTGGTTTTTGATATTAATCAATATACCTCAAACGGTACGCAGCCTTATTCATGTGTTCTATCATGACAGTGGGGCTCAGTCTATCGCGTCGATGGATATTAATGTTAAAGGTGGAAAAAATGCTGTCGCGCTTCTTGCTCAATGGGGTACAGCTCAATTGATCATGTCCTTGATTATATGGATAGTGCTTTGGGGTTATAGAGAATTTATACCATTGATGATCGCTGAGATTTTAGTTGAACAAATACTCCGACTTGCAGTTGGTTATATGAAGCCTCTCGTTACTGTACATCGTCCACCAGGAGCAACAGGAACTTTCATTTTATTACCATTGTCCGCGATCATGTTAGTTTTGTCTTTGATACGCAATGAAAAATAAATTTTATAGAACTCGTTCTATTTTCTGCATTGAATTTATTGTCTGTGTGTCCACATAAAATGTTTGTGTTGAAGTGAAAGTATTACATGAACATGCATTTTCTTACTTGAACACTCATGTTGTTATGCATAGTTCTAGCATGACAGTATAAAATCAGCGAAGCAATCGAACCAAGCGAACGAGAATAGTTTATAGTGTTTATCTTTGATTAACTGATCTATAGGGCGAAAAAGTGCACTTTAGTACGTACCAAATTCGAAAGTACGAAGAAGTGCGAACTGAGTACGAACCGTAACAACGAAGTTTTTTCGCTTCTAACGTGAATTGCACAACTCAGTTGAAAGTACTTGTTGATTCCAAATTCTATTTTCGAACAACTTTCACCGGTTCTCAATACAACATGATATGATGATAAATAAAAAAAGACCATTTTATTTTTTTTTCATATAGAATATTTCAGTGTTACTATACAAAGGATAGTATTTGTGTATAAGTGTTAATGATGCAAACTATTTTGAGTACCGACGCAGGTGTTTAGCTCAAGAAATGACATTCAGTGTCCAGAAAGGAAACTATGATTTTCTTAAGTAAAAAAACTGAAACATGACAATATTATTTGTACAAGAACTTTTTTCTCATTCGATGTCAGTATATAAAAAACAACTATCCTTCATCAAACAAATCTAAGATACTCTCCTTTTTTGCAACTGGAAACAACATATTCATTACTATACTATACTGGAAGTAAAATGCATTTGCTTGTACTTCATCTTCTCGTTGTTCTTCCCGTAGTGAACACTTATGTAGCAGTGAAAATTCTTCGTAGTTCGCTCTACTATCCTAATTCATCATGTGCTTTTATAAGAAATACAACGTGGACCCATAATGTTTCCATTGACACTTGTATTTGGGAATGCGTAAATGAACATGACTGTCAAACGGCGATCTATTATCACAATGAGAAGAACTGTTCTATGTTTTCCGAAATATGTGACACTGGTCGTGTTAATACGTCTGGCAATATTCGAGCAAGTGTTATTTGTTATCGAAAACATTACGGCAAGTTTTCTACTTTTTCTTTATAAAAGAGAATGAATATGTACTTGCAGGTATTATCAGTACATGCTCTTCTACAGAGGGTAGAATTGCTGAACAGACAACAACTGTAACAATACTCACGTCCACAAACAGTATGTCAGTAACAGTTTTGCAGGCACTCGGTACTAGGAAAAGAGCGACTTAGATTGGAATTATACATATGTTGTCTTATCTTACCTCACTGCACCAATGTTTTTTTTTTGTCATAGATTCACCTGCGCCATTAATTAACGCGTTTTGGTCTTTCGATAACACGTCCTACGACAGAGATTTCAACTATAATTCGACACTCAACAATGCATCCTTCTGTCCATCTTCCATCACTGGACACGGCTCTGCACTATGCTTCAATGCTAGCCAAAAACAAGTACTTTCCATTAATCCTAACAATCATCTCAATCTTTCATTCACAAGTTTTACATTTCACTATTGGATCTATCTCTATTCAACAGTTAGCAACGATCAAGGAATGATTGGACAATGTCAATCAATCAACCTCAACCAATGCTTACATTTGACAATACGAGACAGCAAAGCTCGAATTAGTTTTAACATCAATCAGTGCACCGGTAACACAACTGTCAAAAATCAGACATGGTATCATTTGGCATATGTCTATGATTATTCACATGGTATACAGCTTGTTTATCTGAATGGTATGCTGGATTGTATCCAACAAGGTACAAATGCACCTCTCGCAATCACCAATCCCAGTTCTATTCCACTGACGATCGGCTACACGGCTCCATTTAGTGGATGCTATTTCGATGGTGTCATCGATCATCTGACACTTGTTCAATGGCCGAAGAATGCCTCTGAGATTCTCGAACAAGCAACACTTGTTGCGCACTATGACTTTGATGATTCTTCTATCGATGATCACGGACCGAACGGAATATCTTCACTCACTTCCAATACTACACTTACCAACAACTCTCTTCTCTTCAATTCAACATCATCCTATTTTCAGTCATCTGCTTTTGTCCTTCTCGCAATCGACAATCGTTCCTACTCGTTGTGTCTTTGGCTCAAGCCATTTCGAACAAACAATGTCACGATCTTACATGTCTATCAACGAAATCAGACCAATAGTGTCAAATGGTGTTCCATTCGTGTGTCACTCAATCAGCAAAGTCAACTTCGAGTGCAAGCTCGATCATCCACCGGGGTGGTCACTCTCCTAGGCCCTTCGATCGGTACCAATGTTTGGACACATGTTGTTCAAACTTATTCGTCGATCAACGGTATTCAGCTGTACATCAATGGTACATTCTATAACAAGTCATCATCGTCTGACTATCAAGGTCGATCAAAGCCAGTGACAATTCAACTGGGAGGAAGCTTATCGAACGGTACGAATGGATCATGCTTTGATTGGACAATCGATGACGACGAATATGAAGGATGGATAGATGAATTTCGTGTTTATTCAAGAGAAGTGTCATCAAATGAGGTTCAAGCATTATCAATCAGAACATGAATTACTGATGAACGACGTCGCTTTGATTGTTGTTTTGTTTCACGAAAGTCAGTGATTGCGATTTGTTGTTGTCTGTTATCCTTGACTATGACTAAACTTACTTTGGAGCAGGCTGTTCTTCAGTTGCGAGTTTGTATCTTACTCGGAAAAGTATGAACTGTTGGCAATTAATATAGAATACTCATTCAGTTGTAATCGTGCACATATACCTTCACACATATTTAGGGTTCAAACTAGGTTCTCATGTTACATTCGTTTCGTCGTTTATAGTATACTAAATCAAACAAAACTCACAGATGGCGTGCTCTCTATTTCTTAGATTGATGAGCAATTGTTTTTAATTCCTTTTTTCCTGTCAAGTCGATACGAGTTGCGCCTTCACAGACTCAAGTATTTTTATCCTTATTAACGAAAAGGTGAGTGACACAAAAAATTTATGATGACGAAACTTCCTTGAACAATATGTTCAGCTTATGGATCGAATGATGCACAAGACAACGGCGCGAAGCATATGCTCGATCTAGACATCTCAGAGCGAATGTTAAGCAAAGCAAAGGAAATGTCAACAGATAATACAATCATCTATCGTCAAGACAATTTGGAACAGCTCGAACTGTCTTCGAATACATATGATTTAGCTTACAGTTCATTAACTCTACATTACATCGAACACTTATCTCAGTTATCGAAGGCTATTTATCACCCATTGAGATCTGATGGATACTCTATATTCTCGTTAGAACATCCAATAATACTCCTAGTATCGATACAAAAGCCTCATCGAAAATAAAGTTCCTTATTTTTATATCAGTAGCGTGTATCTACACGAAGAAGCACTGTTCGTCGATCATGCTCGAATAATGTAGTGAGTAGTTTGATAAGGCGGCATTATATCGACTGGTTGATTAGCACCTTGTGAACCGGTTGAGCCTTGTATTGTATGTGTGTGACTTCCATCCTGTTGTATCGTAACACCAGTATAGTCAGTGTCAATTTTATGAGTATGAGCGCCATTGTCGTTGCCACCGCCTCCAGAGCTTTGCATAGAATAGGAACCACTAGAATAAGGCCCATGACCTGTTGATCCACTGTGATTATGTCCAGGATCTGTAATCGAATGCGCATGTGTTCCACTAGAAAGTGTCGTCAATGAACCTTCGCTATGCGAATGAGCTGGTAATTGTGCCACTGTGATCGTCAGCGATGATGCACCTCCCAGAATGAACGAATGACCACTACTGTCGTTGTTGCCCAATGGAAATCGACCACGAAAATCTGGCAAATTGAAAGTATCATTACCATTGCCCGATCCATACAGAGTGTCAATCACATCAAACAAGTCACTATATGTCACTCGTGATACTTCTGATCCATCACAAAGTAACCAGCGGTAATAGGTTTTATTCAGAATTGAAAGATTACCCGCAAATAAAACGATAGAACCGGTAGGTATCTCTGAAACAGTCAGAATTCGAAAAACGATTACACATGTCAAGAAACGACTTACCGTATGGTGGTATTGTTCTTATGTCATTACGTGGAACTAACCAAAGTACAATGACAACACCTAGTGTTAGCAGATTTGACAGGACAGCTAATAGTAGACCTTGAAGACATGGATATAGATACGAACAACACTTTGCTGATCTAATAAGTGAAATTTTCCGTTTTTCAAAACGAACACAAAATATTCGAATTTACTAACGTCTTTGGGAATGGGTCATCTCTATGTATTTGGTTGATGTCGACGGGCTCAGCACTACTACTAGCCCATGCGTTTCGATTTTCTAGACTCTCGAGAGAGGCAGTAGACCAATCGCTAATTCTTGGATACTGAGAATTGCTCGCGATCATAGTAAATTTGAACTCTTCTCGAAAAAGTACAGTCTAAAAGAAAAAATGAATGAATTTGCATCATTCTCTTGAATTTCATATATTCATATTGCGTTGTATCACTATAAATAAAGAGTACGTATATTCAATTTTGTTTTTTCGATTCTTTCTCGGTATGCAAATGAGCAACAGAATTGTAATATTACGATAGATTTTTCTCAGTGTATGTTAATTATGCTGAAACCATAGAAGTATCTCTTATCGATGGTGCCATGTCCGTTTGTCAGTTAGCTGAGTGAATAAAGGAAGAGAGAGGAATAGAAACATCGATTACTTTCTTCACTGAATTGCTATTTTTTTCAATATTTCAGTGAAATTTTTTCGTAAACTACTCACATATAATTCTACTTATATTTTGAGTCGATGATTGAAAATCCTATGTTGGCTTGCTTCATTAATAGAGAGCAATATATTTTAACCATTTGAAAGGAAGTTTCCGATACAAATCTCGGATGTTTCAGTTGCATCGACTCGTAGTGTTGGGAACAAGTGTCAATACCTTTATGATGTAAAGAAAACAGAACCTTTCGTTCGTCGATATTTTATTTATTTCCAACTTTTCATAGGAAGTACAAAAGATATGCATACGTAAAGATGAGAAAGAATAGTAACTAGTATCTTCAAATTCTTAATTTCATGAATTTTTCTGGTATTTTACGGCTAGTATTAGTATATATAGTTATTTGAGTAATGAACGATAAGATCATCTCATTGTCAACAACATCGAAAATCTTTTGTTCTGCTTCTGAACAAATATGGTCACTTGATGATAACCAAATTGAAAGAGTGCCCTATCTATTTGCTTTAATATCATCAATAGAGTGTTTCCAACCTATTCGCGATGAGAATGATTATTATCAATTATATCCTTGAATTCAGTCAACCTATTTCTCCTTTATTGTCGATTCAATTTCTTTCCATTCAATACGACAGCTATTCACACATTTGCCAAAGCAGTGTGATGTTATAGCAATCGTTGCACTTCTCGATTTTCTTTGTATTGCACCTCATTCAAGTCCAACATTTGAAGAAATTGACTCAGTTTTCTTCTCAAGTTTAACATACAAACCTTCAATCAATGGTTATGTTCAAATTATTCGACCTATGGGAATGCAAGATATGGCTATTCGATTTGCTTTTGCGTTAGTTAAAGAAGAATATGATTTGACTCGGCGTGATGTTATGGATCAAATCTATTGGTTTATTGTGTTCATCGAAAGTGCATACGAATTATTTGGGCTCTGTCTTCGTCATCATATTTATCGTATTGCTGAACATTATTTCGCTCTTTTTAGTCGAGATCTCTTGGAACCACTTGAAAGGCTTATTTAACCTACTGATAAAGGAATGATTACTGTTTTAACATCAATTGACGTTGATCTTTGTTACTATGGAAAACATGAACAAATACCTTCCATAAATGTATATAGGGAGCATTCACTGTTCTTAGGACAGGTAGAGTTCCTATGCGACTCTTCTTCATTTTTCTATCCACGATTCTACGGAAGGTCTTGGACCAGATAGAAACCAACTCGGACTGGAGATGATATTCTGAAATCTGTTTACCGAACTGTTCTAGATAACACCTATGAACGATTGCAATCGCAATGCTGCAAATATTTAGTAGATGTCATTCGTCGATATCAATTCTCTTGTCATAGACAGAAGATTTACAAGTCAATTTTATTCAGTATAATTAGTCATGAACAAGTAAGAACCAAAATAGACAAACAGATTTTAGCGGAGTTGCGTAGATTGAAACCTGGTATAGAAGATAAACACTCTGAATTAGTGAGGGAATTACAAGGTTACGAACAAAGGGCTTTAGACAATACGATGCCCAGAGTGCTGCGGTACTATGACAATTACCGAAATTCATTTCAGTTTGAACGCTGCCAAAACAAAACATTGATATACGAAACTGATATTGAAAAATATATATGAAAGCAATTTGATCGTCCAACATATACGTCATCAGGAAACATTACGCAGAATTTATACAATAGCACAAAAACAAACCAATGAATGGGAGGAAACGCAGAAAGAAATTTTTGAATTGAATCATATCTCATAAACATAAGCAAATATTGAATCAAGAAAGGAGTTGTCACGTACTTTTTTATTACAAGAAGAAAATTTTCAACGCACAAATTCTTTTCCCTCTCTCTATCGAACCCGTTGATAATCACTAACAAAGAAAGCAATACACTGAAAGCGAAAAACGTATTATCCATTGAGCTCAAGATCTTTTCCTTGTAGTGTTGGAAAATGTACACGAATGCGCTGCTCACTAGTCAGACGTGGCGCCACTGATGCGCGAAAATGTCGTTTATAGAATTTCGATGGTACTATAAAAATCACGAATGTTAACATCGGTGGAATGAACGAAACGAAGTAGCCAATTAAGAACAGCCAGGAATCATTTGCTGATTTCATACATTTCGAAATAAAACCAATAATTAAACGCGGTAATGCCAGAACAACCAGGAGAAGTGGTGCTGTGAATAGATGTTGATGTTCGCGAACATGCTGTTGTAAGAGTTGTCGAAAAGCGCGACGATTATGGAGATTCGATTGTCGACGAGTCTTTTTTGAGATGAGCGTAACGGCACAGATGAGGTTAACAACGAACGAACCAAAGAAGTGAAATGTATAGACAATCGAATTAAATATTTGTAAATTGGATGAGTAAGTAACAATGCACCAAGTACGTTTTTCAACATTTTTGTCGTTTTCTTCTACGATCAAACGTCGATTCAACGGATCATGTATCGAAGTGCAAGTAATAGTCACTAAAAGCATTGCAATGATAATTTTGGCTGCTTGCTGACTTTTCCTCTTGTCAAATGTCATGCCCTTTCGCGCAATGACTATCCGTTCAACAGCAACACAAGCATTGAGCCATTGATCCATACTTAAACAAACGCGTAGCAGAAAGTCACTTGTATAACACTGGAATAGTAAAAACTGATGATTCGTTATGTAGAGCGCTTGTGCTAAAATTAATATCCAAAATTTGAATCCAAACATAATCATTGTGCATAAAGCAGTGATCGCCGAGCCAAATAAATACAGACCACAACCCATTTCGCGTAGATTTTTATGCTTAAATGTCAGAATTGACAGAGTTCCGTTGATAATTCCACCAATAAGAAGAATCATTGTAAATATCATGCTTATCGTAACAATTTTCGATTGATGTATCAGGCTATGATTGGGTTGAATATGATAACTTAAGATAGAATCGAGAGATAAACCAAATCCACTTGTACTGAACTGACATAGTCGACCATAGAAACACGGAGGGCAAGCACAGATTGATCGTTGTGGACAGTTGGGCGTGTCTTGAAAACAATGGCCACCGTTTTCGCACACACTTTTACCATGACAATCGAATTTCTTCTGGTGCTCAAAATTAAAACAATTCGCTAGACGTTGTTCACCGTGATCGTAACATAGACAAAGATGTTCCTCGTCGTAAAAACACGAAAGATTTAACTGTAAATTTTGACATGGTACATGATAGTATTTGATACGACGGAGTAAATGGAAGTCGACCAGAGTTTGATTGAAAATTTCACTGATATGCTGACAACGATCCGATGACTGAATCGTTGTTGCAATTACCGATGATTGATTAAAATGTTTCTGCGTCACAGCGAGATAGAAATTATGATTCGAAGGTTCGATAAAAACAAGATGGAATGGTCGTGACCATTGAATGGTAATAGATTTCTGTTTAACAGGAAAGGTTTGAAGAATAGTTGCTCGTATCGGTGGTGCATCTTGAGCTGCGGTGATAAAATGTATAAACATTAATTCAGATAAAACAATATCGCTCTCAAATGATAAGATAACTTTGTTGTCTTCGATTTCGCACCGTTCACCACTAAACCCTCTTCGACAAATACACATGAATCGTTGTGTCGATAAATTATACTCGTCTATTGGTATGCAAAGACCTTTGTTTTTGCATACAGGGTCAATACTGGATAGGCACACTGAAGGAATCAAACATCGAGGACCAAATTTATGAATAGGACAAACACATATTGAGCGGTTGTCTGCAGATACTCCAACGCATATCGAATCAGCTGAGCAGGTGCATTGATGTGGAACAGCACAGAGTTGGCCAGACCAGCCTCGATCACATCGGCAAAGGATTTGACTAGATTCGTGATGATTGACACTTTCATAACATATCCCATGACCACCACAGCGTCGATCGGAACAAGTCTTAATATTATTTTGACTTCGTGGAATATCGATAACATACGCTGCACGATGAACGGGTAAAAACAAATAGTTGATCGGATGTATTATGCTTCCCCGATAAATAAGCGAAAGTTTTTCATAGATATCGAATTGTATAAAATATTGATTGGTCAGATTTTTCGGTCGAGTTGAATATGTTAAATAGAATTCATATTTCGTTGTGCAATCTCGCATGGATAAATATGTGATTTTTTCATACGAGTGAACCCGACGTTCATAACTGTCGTCAACAAGCGAGATAACGATGACGAATGGTGTTTCCCACGAATCGGACAATGCATGAAATCGAACAACTACACTTATGCGTTGATTTTGATATTGGCATCGATTACCATAAAAATTAGGTGGACAAAAACATGCTTTTGTTAATAAGTTCTTCTTTTTGTTCAACCAAACACGTGCAGAGAGACCACGATGGCAATAATTTTCATTTTGATGGTTGATTTGAGATAAAACTGCCAGGTTTCTGTTGCCATTTATTTGGTTATTCATTGGTTTACGCGATGTTTGAAGTGCGAAGTAAACAATTTGTTTCTTTGTTTTCTTTTTTACAGTCTTGCAAAAGAACTTTTCCGCATCGGAATATAAGTGTATATCAGTCGGTTTACAGTAATAAGACATTTTATCAACGATTTCCTTCGATTTACAAAATCGTTCATCTTCTTTATCGTAACAATCAATATTGCGATTGCAGAGGAAATGAATAGGCAGGCATGATGATATGTTGGCGTTGTTTAAGCACTGAAATCTCGTTTCATATGCTAGTGGAGATTTTATTGCACATTGTGATGATTCATCAGTACCACCAAGACAGTCGATAACACCATTGTTGATCTTCTTAACTGGTAGGCAAGTTAACTCATCCGTCTCTGCTGAAACGCACACTTGTTCACTTGACGAACAGTGTTTCGACGGCGTTAGATCACAACCGATTTCATCTTCGCCATTGGGACAATTCTTGATGAGGTTACACCGTGTATAAATATTATTACATCGCCATTGGTCACATTCGGTTTCGTCTGTTTCATTCCGACCGTCGATCGTGATGGGCAACAGTTCGGTATATCCATCGCATATTGTTTGAAACGATACATTATTTTCTATAAACTGCTTTTCTAGTTTCAGTTTATTGTCCTCTGACATAGTCCAATTTATCAGCAAGCTGAAAAGGCTGCTACCATTCGCTCGCGATTGTTTTTCATCATCACCGTATGGGCAATCCTTAATGTAGTTGTTCACACGATGAATAGATATGCATTTATTTGAATTCATACATTGATACATATTCGAACGATCACAAACATTCGAAGTGTAGTTTACTGGTAAATTATACGACCAAAATAATAGCTGTAAGTCAATAAAAAAGAATCGATTTGTTGAACTTGGCGAGGTAGAGATGATTGGTTGTTGAAGATTTCGATAGCACGTTAAGTTTTTAAATGGAATCTTTTCACCATCAATAAAGAACTTATTATAGTATGAATCGTTGTAGCACACATAAGGTAATCGAAACTTTGACTGTGCAAGGATTTCTGCATCCGTTTTTGCATAGGCGAAATAAATTCGATGATCAATAATTGGAATAGCTGGCATGAATAACATTTCTGGACAGAAATCTTGGATAATTTCAGTACATTTATCAAGTCTGCAAAAATGGTTGCAAATGAGTTGATCGTATTCGTATGATGCACTGATAATGCATCTGAAAGCAAACCAACATTGATCTTCTACATCGGGATGTTGAAGAGAAAAATGTGCTTGTAATAGTAACGCTTCTCGTTTTAATACGCAAGAACTAGTGAATAGTTTGGGCGAACATGCTGTATCTTCGCATCGAAACCCATGCTCGAGAGAATTACATGAACCATATGGTAACACGAAGATCGGCAATTCATCAGTGCCATCAATACAATCTGCAGATTCAAGTTTTTCTCTGGCGAACGAGTGTGGAATACACTGACCGTTGAGACAACGATATTCGTCGTCTTTGCATGCATTGATTTCCAATTGCCAGCAATGTTGTTCATCTAGGCCGTTATCAAGACAATCAACACGCCCGTCACAAATTTCAGTCCAATCTAAGCATGCTGGTGCAGGACCACGATAACATTGTAAATGCATGTAGCAAGTTAAGTCAGTTGGGTTATAATCTTGATTGTTGTAGAAGCTATCGATCATTTCGTGTAAGAAGTTGAAACGAGAATCATAAAACTCGAGTTCATATTGACATAACGGACCAAATCCTGGGACTGTACAGTTATGAAAAAGTTCATTCGACATGCTATCATCATTTTCGTTTAAATATAACTGGTAACGTTCAATGATATCGATTGGTGCTGACCATAGATATAACTGTTCGCTAGTTATATTCTTTTCTGAAAGCTCATAAAACGTAAATGTTGGCAACGAGTTGCTGGTTTCGATAGGAAATTCTGGTAATGATTCTTCCATACAGAAAAATACTATCTGTTGATCAATACTTGAATGTTCGACAAAAACAACTGTATGCAAACAATTCCGTTGCATTGCAAGTCCATGATCAGCACCGTTGGTTGAATCTGTATAATACAAATTGATTTGTGGAACTCCACTAATCGATTGTAATAGAATGAGATAGGCGAGATACCACATTAAAGGGTTTCTGACAATGATATGAGATGAAAAGGGCTGACTTTTTTCTTGTATGTGCAACATCAAGAATATGAAAACAACGGTTCTATGTCATAAAAATATTGTTTGTTCCCTTTACAATGACGGTGCGAAGTGTTAGTTAATGGAGACTTTCATAAAACTCTGCAGCTTATCAAATACGCATGCATGACGCAGTTCCGCTGCAGTATACCAAACTTTTCACGTATGTCATGTCGTTTTTATCTAACGCACATAGTGAACAAAATAAAAGAGTGATTTTCCTCGAAGTATCACTAAAAGCATGACTATGACAAATAAGCATTAACGATCTGGTATTGTATTGTGTAAAAGCTATGCTGAAAACGATCATAGTTAGAATGGATTTAATTGTGAAATAAATCCTTATTATATGTGCTTCCTTCGTCGACGAGTGTTTCAACACGACGTCAGCAGAGAGAGACAAATATTTTCTCGTTGTTGAAAAGTATATTATCAAAGAGTTTCGTTGTTTTTGTCGAATTTTCATGGATTCGAAAAAGTACAAGGCGTGATTTACTGTGTGATCTATCGACTTCCTAAATGGTTCACATTTGCCTCCAGTAAAACTTCATTAACATATGAATAAATAAATATCTTTTCTTCCGATTTATTTTGTGTGATTATGCAAACGTGAAGTCTTTGGATCGATTGATGCATACACAAAATATATTTACGATCGGCTATGGATTTATATAAGATTTTGTATTTAATCATTGTAAAGTACATAGAACTTTGAATTCGTTGAGAAAGCGATACATTTACAAATGGCAAATCGAACTACCATATCTTTTGCTTTCATCGTAGTAGTGTTGGTCTTGGCCACACAGATAGGCAAGGAAAATTTGATTGAGCGGCATATTAAAATTCTTACCTCCTATTATTTGTTTTAGAGCAAGGTGAAAGTTTTCTAGTACCAGACTTCATAGGTCAGTACTTTCACTTATGTGGATGTCCTGACACAGCCAAATGTGAAAGCAATTGTGCGACACGATTTAATGGAACCGCTGGACGATGCTCTGGATTTCTTCACGCTCGATGTGAATGTCAAATTAAGAAAGAATGGTTATCGAAAGAACGTCAATGTTAACATTCATTCTTTATCGTTTTTCGCATCGTAAGAGATGTATTAATAAACCAATACATTGGTCACTATAAATAACAAGAGTATGCGTGACAAAGATTGCTATTTCATCTAGTTCACATAATATGCACAGAAAATCAACATATTTTTTTTGTATTCACTCTCTCACAAGTTAATAGCTCCTGTAGCAGCATACGCTTTTCTCCACGCTAATACAGTGACATAATCACGTACGGTCACTTCTCCTCTTAAACTTCTATTTTTAACATGTATCTCGTAGAATTCGTCGAAGACTTGTTTGAAAATCTTTTCCACCGAATAATAATTAGTAATCAGCTGGATTCGTTTAGTTTTAGAACGCTGAAGAAAATTATAAAGATCAGCTCGATGTTGAAACTTTGAAAAATACGATGGATTATGTAAGCAATGAATATGCCAAGCCAGCCATAGAGAGAGTTGTGAGTCGGCTGGATGATCTAATACAGGTGCTTCGTGTTGATGAGTAAGAGTCGACGAATAAATATGATTGATTGCTATTTCAGCAGCATAAAGTGACGTTACTCCACGCCACCATTTAGGCCACTCACCAATCGCGGGTAGGTCTTCGATACCTGGAACGTGACGGCCAAATTCATTGTCCAGAAGATATCTTCCGATCTGCGTGGTTAAATTAGCAATCTCAATTGAATCTTTTGGAGTAACTAGCCATGTCGAACAAAGATTATGTACTCCTACATGCTTGTAACCTAGTTTCTGCGCGATCATGCGTAATCGTTGATTAGTAAATTCAGTTCCATGACCCAGAGCTCCAAATTGCATTCGCGATAATTGATATGGATGTTTTCCAAGAAAGCCAAAGAATAATCCCGGACTGAGAATAGCATCCTGATCAACTCGTAAGATCCATTGATACTTGGTGACCGCTTTTCGATAATTTGGAGTTAGCATGAAAGCGATTGACGTCATATAGAGATAATCTTTCCAGTCAGAAACAATGTGATGATCCAATTTATGATAGTAACAATTATAAATTTGATTCAAGTGATATGGATGAGAGTGTGGTATGCAAGATGCAGGTAATTGATAACAGCTAGGAAATTCACAGAAAACTATTAAATCAACGATGATTTGTTCTGATAATGGAGAAAATGTTTGAATGAAACGCCATGATTCGTAGAGTAGGTGAAATTCAGCAATGTGAGATGCTTGTTTTGAGAGGGATAGGACGACAGCAACATGAATAGTTTTAGTAGTTGAAATGAATGGACGAATTGTTTTTGCTGATGGAGCAGCAGAAGAAGATATGTGTGAAGAACTAGGCAATTTGGATGCAAATGATTTTCTAGCATGAGTAGCTTTTCTTATTGTCGACGAGATTTTTGTGTTAATGATAGGTCGACTATGGTAATAGAAATAAACATATTGCCAAGTAATTAGAACTAGTAAACTGAGAAGCAGCAATTTTAATATGATTGAAGAAATATTTCTTCTGAGACTGAGTCCGATAGACATCGATCGATAGAACTACTCGAGGAAAGATATGCTATAATGAATGGTTATTGATAATATGGCTTGTAATCGGGCTCGTCATTGTTCCAATAACTTTTTAACGACAGAAACATAATAAAAAATTGCATGTGACAAGTTCAATTCATCGTCTGTGCACACACAACTGAAAAAGAAGTCTGTCGCGTATCGTTGGTTACTTGTTGCGTTCTGTAAAAAAAACGTGCTTTTGTCAACAACGCCTTTTTTCCTTTTATTTGTATTTCAGTTTTGATAAAAAATACGCAGAGAATAATAGTACGATTTTGTTTACATATTCAGTATGTGGAAAGTATGAGAAATGCCAATACATTTAGTTTATTTACAATTGAAAATGCTCGTTTTTGCTAACAGTGAGCAAAATTTATATTGGTTCAAAAATGCAAATAAACGATCGAGTTCATATGAGATTCATTGGTTTGATAATACTTCGAGTCCATGGTAGATAAGCTGAAACGCATGTATAGTCATAAGGTACACCAGAATCACCGTCAGTCTCGCACATTGTCGCCTTCGAAACTTGTTATGCCTGATAAAACGTAATGCCATTCATATTCATATAAGAGAAGCCCATCATGCTATATCGTTCCATAGCGTATTAGAATCGTATTCAGGATGAATATGGACACTTTCAATAAAGTGTAATTGTGTAGAATTCTCTTCTCAGAACATATAGCCGAGTGCTGATACAGTGAGCAGCTGTAAGAACATAGTTCTTGCTGATCAATGTGGCAGTGCACCATGGTGCGTTGTCAAAGTCCCATGTTTCTGTTGATTTACGAAAAAGAAGCACCTATTTGAAAGGAAGAATGATGAGGTTGGAATCATCGTCGTAAAAGAGATGAATGAACCTATTGAACAACAGTATTGAGTTAGAAAATCAACATCTTCGATCATAGCTGTGTAGAGCCAAAAAGCATTGGTGGTAGAATTAACTCTTTTTCGTTACCATTTAACTGACCAGAGTTACTAGTTCGATAGTTAACGGACTGAGCATGGATACCAAATGGTAAAGAACACACTGCTGACGGATATTGCCTAAGGTCCTTGTATACTATTTTATTTCAAATATGTTATATAGACGTGTATATACGTATATCTTTGTCGGAACGTGCAAAACCGATACACTAATTATAGCTTGACTCATAAATAAGGCGGAAAACGCAGAATCAAGATGGTACACATGAAGATTACTACAGATGATAGAGAAAAAAAGATTCAATGCATAGTGACACATAGTATAACGTCATAATTGTAAATATGATGTACTATTTTGTTTCATGAATGTCATATGACAAATAGCAGTCAAAGCAACAATATTAATCACTACTTCATGTTTTGATTGATAGCATTTATATCTCATTCAATATCAATTCTCTCAAATAAATACGAAATTCATCTATCCATGCTCCATATTTACCTTCAACAACTGTCAAATTAAAGCATGACCCACAACACAATGAGTCGATGTAACTGAAACATCCGAGATTTGTATCGTAAACTTCCTTTCAAATGGTTAAAATATATTGCTCTCTATTAAGGAAGCAAGCGAACATGGGAATATCAATCATCGACTCAAAATATAAGTAGAATTATATGTGAGTAGTTTACGAAAAAATTTCACTGAAATATTAAAAAAATAGCAATTCAGTGAAGAAAGTAATCGATGTTTCTATTCCTCTCTCTTCCTTTATTCGCTCAGCTAACTGACAAGCGGACATGGCACCATCGATAAGAGATACTTCTATGGTTTCAGCATAATTAGCATACAATGAGAAAAATATATCGTAATATTACAATTCTGTTGCTCATTTGCATACCGAGAAAGAATAGAAGAAAGAAAATTGAATATAGGTACTCTTTATTTATAGTGATACAACGCAATATAAATATATGAAACTCAAGAGAATGATGCAAATTCATTCTTTTTTTCTTTTAGACTGTACTTTTTCGAGAAGAGTTCAAATTTACTATGATCGCGAGCAATTCTCAGTATCCAAGAATTAGCGATTGGTCTACTGCCTCTCTCGAGAGTCTAGAAAATCGAAACGCATGGGCTAGTAGTAGTGCTGAGCCCGTCGACATCAACCAAATACATAGAGATGACCCATTCCCAAAGACGTTAGTAAATTCGAATATTTTGTGTTNTTTTTTCTTTTAGACTGTACTTTTTCGAGAAGAGTTCAAATTTACTATGATCGCGAGCAATTCTCAGTATCCAAGAATTAGCGATTGGTCTACTGCCTCTCTCGAGAGTCTAGAAAATCGAAACGCATGGGCTAGTAGTAGTGCTGAGCCCGTCGACATCAACCAAATACATAGAGATGACCCATTCCCAAAGACGTTAGTAAATTCGAATATTTTGTGTTCGTTTTGAAAAACGGAAAATTTCACTTATTAGATCAGCAAAGTGTTGTTCGTATCTATATCCATGTCTTCAAGGTCTACTATTAGCTGTCCTGTCAAATCTGCTAACACTAGGTGTTGTCATTGTACTTTGGTTAGTTCCACGTAATGACATAAGAACAATACCACCATACGGTAAGTCGTTTCTTGACATGTGTAATCGTTTTTCGAATTCTGACTGTTTCAGAGATACCTACCGGTTCTATCGTTTTATTTGCGGGTAATCTTTCAATTCTGAATAAAACCTATTACCGCTGGTTACTTTGTGATGGATCAGAAGTATCACGAGTGACATATAGTGACTTGTTTGATGTGATTGACACTCTGTATGGATCGGGCAATGGTAATGATACTTTCAATTTGCCAGATTTTCGTGGTCGATTTCCATTGGGCAACAACGACAGTAGTGGTCATTCGTTCATTCTGGGAGGTGCATCATCGCTGACGATCACAGTGGCACAATTACCAGCTCATTCGCATAGCGAAGGTTCATTGACGACACTTTCTAGTGGAACACATGCGCATTCGATTACAGATCCTGGACATAATCACAGTGGATCAACAGGTAGCGGGCCTTATTCTAGTGGTTCCTATTCTATGCAAAGCTCTGGAGGCGGTGGTAACGACAATGGCGCTCATGTTCACACAATTCCCACTGGCTATACTGGTGTTACGATACAACAGGATGGAAGTCACACACATACAATACAAGGCTCAACCGGTTCACAAGGTGCTAATCAACCAGTCGACATAATGCCGCCTTATCAAACTACTCACTACATTATTCGAGCGTGATCGACGAACAGTGCTTATTCGTATAGATACACGCTACTGATATAAAAATAAGGAACTTTATTTTCGAAGAGGCTTTCGTATCGATACTAGGAGTATTATTGGATGTTCTGACGAGAATATAGAGTATCCATAAGATTTCAATGGTTGATAAATAGTCTTCAATAACTGAGATAAGCGTTCGATATAATGTAGAGTTAATGAACTGTAAGCTAAATCATATGTATTCGGAGACAGTTCGAGTTGTTCCAAATTCTCTTGACGATAGATGATTGTATTATCTGTTGACGTTTCCTTTGCTTTGCTTAACATTCGCTCTGAGATGTCTAGATCGAGCATATGCTTCGCGCCGTTGTCTTATGCATCATTCGATCCATAAGCTGAACATATTGTTCAAAGGAAGTTTCGTCATCATAAATTTTTTGTGTCACTCACCTTTTCGTTAATAAGGATAAAAATACTTGAGTCTGTGAAGGCGCAACTCGTATCGACTTGAGAGGAAAAAAGGAATTAAAAACAATTGCTTATCAATCTAAGAAATAGAGAGCACCCCATCTGTGAGTTTTGTTTGATTTAGTATACTATAAACGACGAAACGAATGTAACATAAGAACATAGTTTGAACCCTGAATATGTGTGAAGGTATATGTGCACGATGACAACTGAATGAGTATTCTATATTTATTGCCAACAGTTCATACTTTTCCGAGTAAGATACAAACTCGCAACTGAAGAACAGCCTGTTCCAAAGTAAGTTTAGTCATAGTCAAAGATAACAGACAACAACAAATCACAATCACTGATTTTCGTGAAACGAAACAACAATCGAAGCGACGTCGTTCATCAGTATTTCATGTTCTGATTGATAATGCTTGAACCTCATTCGATGTCACTTCTCTTGAATAAACACGAAATTCATCCATCCATCCTTCATATTCGTCGTCATCGATTGTCCAATCAAAGCATGATCCATTCGTACCGTTCGATAAGCTTCCTCCCAGTTGAATTGTCACTGGCTTTGATCCACCTTGATAGTCAGACGATGATGATTTATTATAGAACGTACCATTGATGTACAGCTGAATACCGTTGATCGACGAATAAGTTTGAACAACATGTGTCCAAACATTGGTACCGATCGAAGGACCTAGGAGAGTGACCACCCCGGTGGATGATCGAGCTTGCACTCGAAGTTGACTTTGCTGATTGAGTGACACACGAATGGAACACCATTTGACACTGTTGGTCTGATTTAGTTGATAGACATGTAAGATCGTGATATTGTTTGTTCGAAATGGCTTAAGCCAAAGACACAACGAGTAGGAACGATTGCCGATTGCGAGAAGGACAAAAGCAGATGACTGAAAATAGGATGAGGTTGAATTGAAGAGAAGAGAGTTGTTGGCAAGTGTAGTATTGGAAGTGAGTGAAGATATTCCGCTCGGTCCGTGATCACCGATAGAAGAATCATCAAAGTCATAGTGCGCAACAAGTGTTGCTTGTTCGAGAATCTCAGAGGCATTCTTCGGCCATTGAACAAGTGTCAGATGATCGATGACACCATCGAAATAGTATCGAGTAAATGGAGCCGTGTAGCCGATCGTCAGTGGAATAGAACTAGGATTGGTGATTGCGAGAGGTGTACTTGTACCTTGTTGGATACAATCGAGCATACCATTCAAATAAACGAGCTGTGTAGCACGTGAATAATCATAGACATATGCCAAATGATACCATGTCTGATTTTTGACAGTTGTGTTACCGGTGCAGATATTGCCGTAAAAACTAATTCGAGCTTTGCTGTCTCGTATTGTCAAATGTAAGCATTGGTTGAGGTTGATTGATTGACATTGTCCAATCATTCCTTGATCGTTGCTAACTGTTGAATAGAGATAGATCCAATAGTGAAATGTAAAACTTGTGAATGAAAGATTGAGATGATTGTTAGGATTAATGGAAAGTACTTGTTTTTGGCTAGCATTGAAGCATAGTGCAGAGCCGTGTCCAGTGATGGAAGATGGACAGAAGGATGCATTGTTGAGTGTCGAATTATAGTTGAAATCTCTGTCGTAGGACGTGTTATCGAAAGACCAAAACGCATCGATTAAAGGCGAAGTTGGACCTGGAAAAGTGCAAAGATTAACTAGTATTTACGTTTCAGAAAAAATTTCAGCAAAATAAATCGCTGCTATATTTAATTGCAATTCTCATCTGTATGTAAAACTTTACCATTCAATTTAATATCTTTAACCAAAGCTGAGGATTGATTGATAAATACAAACAAAGTGTTATTACTAGATTGCAGCAAAATTGAACTTCCATTATAACTGAGCAAAGTGCACGTATTGTTGTTATTATAATAGTTTAAAGCAAATGTATTTGATTGCAGCATTGCGCATATGCATTGATCTTGAGAAACACTCATCAGAGTAACTTGCCCATATCCAATCATTAGGTTATTAGCAATTTTGCCAATGGTAATTGAATGAGCAAAAGAAAGCAACGAGAGTAATATCAACAGATGCAACATGTTACTGATGTTTGACGAAAGTTTTAGCAACTGTTACTATTCTTGTTTTTCTTAACCATCGTTTATATGTTGCTATTTAATTATCAAATAGAAGACGAGTGAAGCGCATTTTGTATTCCAACCAAAGTTTCTAAGCGTATTCTAGAAAAAGAAACGCTTTTTCTGACAAATAACCTGACTTTCATGACCATTTCAATTTCTTAAATGTTGTATCAAATAAAATGAGAGCGGAAGGATAAAATATCAATAATGCACTTTCTTTAAACATGTTAAAGAAAAATATTTTTTATTTCGTATCGGATACGACTGATGACGCAACAAAGACATTTTTCTCATCATTTCATTGTCTATTTTGTGCTATAGATTCCATACATCGAAGAGATTCTTTCATTTTATAAGAAAAGCTGATTGAAACACGTGCGTCGCTTAAATATGCAGACATCGTCTTATATAAAGATCACTGTTCTCAATAGTATTCTTCGTCTTGATGTAAAATAAAATCGTGTATCATCTGAAGTGTTCTGTTATCCCTCAATCACCTTATCTTAATACTTTAATACCTAGGTTTTATTATCACAATGAAATATTTACGTATAGATCGTAAAGATCTGTATCAATACTCTTGCACGTACCAACAATAAAGAAGTAATAAATCAGTTTCAGCAATCGACTCACGCATCAAAATAGAATTCACATCTAAAACATATATTTAGCTGAAATTCTTCTTCGTATCATCATCAACGATGGCTTCCATTGATCTGTCGCCGAGAACCATGTTCGTGTTCTTATGTACGATTTGTTTGTTTGGAGTGATTACATTAGCGCTTGCTGCAGCAACGCTAGGCACTATAAACAAACGTTTCGATTCTCTCACTGTGACAACATCTACCACTCAAACGAAATTGAATTCACCTCTTGCTGAAACGATCCGTATTGATGATCTTGTGAATCATTTAAGGCAATTGCAACGCATCGCCAATGAATCGAATGGTAATCGTGCTATTAATACACGCGGATTCAATGCAACGGTTGATTATATTTACAATTATCTACAAAATCAAATCGGTACTCTCCAGGTTACACGTCGAACATTTACAATACGAAATTTCGCTCTCGCAAAAAATCCGATCTTGCTTTCCAAAATCGAGGGAACGGAAAAAAATTATACATATTCAACAACGCTTGCTCGATCTGAATTTACCTACGCAAATTATTCTACTGCAACAAAATTTACCGACTATGTTCGCGTTGTTAGCATTCCGAATTTTGGATGTTCTGAAGACGCATGGAAAAATGTCTCGGGACTAGTTGCTTTGATCAAAGCAGGTGGCAAATGTACATATGCAGAGAAAGGTATGCTGGCTGCAGATAGCGGCATCCAAGCACTGCTATTCTACAGCGATGGTGAGACAAGCAGCAATCTTGCACCGGTTAATGTTCGTCTGCGTCACACAAATAAATTACCAGCACTTGCTCTATCATATACTGCTGGAGAAGCATTAGCAACTGCAGCTTCAATGGGAACTGCTTTTGTAAAGTTGGAAATTGAATTAGAAAATATGCCTCCCTTTCCCGTAGATAATGTCTGTGCTGATACTCCACATGGTGACGCTACACAGACCATTGTCGTCGGAAGTCATAGTGATAGCGTACCAGCTGGGCCGGGTATTAATGATAATGGTAAGAGTTAGTTGTCGGCATTATAAATACTCTTTCGGAACATTTTTATTCATAGGTAGCGGCACAGCTGCAAACCTTGTTTTAGCTGCAAATTTAGCGCGACTCTACCAAACATCAAACTACAAAAAGTATAAATATCGTGTTCGTTTTTGCTGGTGGGCTGCAGAAGAAATCGGTTTAGCTGGATCTTCTGATTATGTTGACAAAGCAAAAGTTTCGACTGAACCAGGTGAACGTCGTGCAGACATATTAGTTAATCTCAACTTTGATATGGCAGGTTCACCTAATTTTATCTTCGGAATCTATGATGCCAAAACAGCGTTAAACGGAACACCAGTAGAAGCACTTCCTGGCAGTCAAAAGATTACAGAGCTATACCGTGATTGGTTCATTGGACAAAATTTACCTTGGGATTATCGAGATTTCAATGGTCGAAGTGACTATGGTCCATTCTTAGCGGCAGGTATTGCTGCTGGTGGCGTTGCCACGGGTTCTGACGCCGTCAAATCAGCAGCACAGCGCGATAAGTATCGTCAATCTATTGGAGAGGAAAACGCCGGTTTTGCGGGGGCAATTCTCGATCCATGTTATCACTTGTCGTGTGATACATTGGTCAACATTCATTTGTACGGTTATGAAAAACTTGTTCAAGCTGCTGCTTACGGACTAGAATATCTTGGTCAGCGCGATGATCTGAAAACATGGCTGTATCCGCAGTAACAATATAAATACATCTGATGAACAGTGTACTCTGATAGTACATAACCGATATATTTTCTACCGCATAATGTTTAATAAATTGATACATCACAGTATGTGTTTCAAGATTGAATATAAATTCATTTTCTAAGGAAATGATATTCTTAGTCACGAGACGATTTTTTATTTTGAAAGCTTCTCGAGCAGCCGATCGAGTGTATTCTGTACGTGCTTTATGGAATGATCTAGATGTGTAAGTTTTTCTTCAGTTTGATTGGCTTGACCTTTCAAAAGCTCCAACATTCGACTAGTTTCTATTGTCCTCTTATTAACGTCTCGTTGCAATGTCATTATTTCTGGAAAACTCAAACAGCTATCCACCAATTTGCTTTGTTTTTGTTTCAACTGCTGATTGTGATGCATCGATCGAAATAATCTTCGTTCAATTTTGATATACTCAGATGATCTCTTTGACTGACGTGTTCGTTTTAAATACCAAAGCTTGATGGTGAATTTAATCACATTCGCTGCTTGAATTTTACGTTCTTTAGCTAAATCAACGCCTGACACGTAATTGTGAACATATTTTTCAGATCGAGTCAATTGAAGTCTATCAGCAAGGACAGATATCAGTAGTGCAGTTGATAGAACACCAATCAACGCTGTAATTGCAGCTATACCTTTTTTTGATAATAAATATTACAATCCAATGAACCAATATAACCATAAATTGACTTACTTCGTCCACAGTATGTCAGAGGTATGAGATCTCCATAGCCAACCGTGGTAAATGTCACGATAAATAGCCACATGGCATCGAATAGTGATAAATGTTCGAACGAGGTAGTATAATTGCATGCTCGTAACGACCAGCTTCCGATGAAGAAGACAGCAATACAAAACCCTAGGAGACAACGCACTGGCCAGCGAGTAAGATATATTCGAATTAGACAGAGAAGATCAAACGAAACTTGATTTAATCCACCTAATGATTGTGCAGAAACGTTTCGAGTGAAAGAGGAATGAAATCTTATGAAACGGCATAGCAGATAGACACGCGCGAACACTAATCAAAGTTTCATAATGCAACATACAATGGAAAATTCATGCATAAACTCACTTGGTAAACCAAGTGCAACGTTCATAGTCAGATAAGATTTCGCCAGAGGATTAGGTACGATCATCGAGTTTGCACAAGTAGCTTCGGATGGCGCAGGATAGTATCCAGGAATAGGATGTATGAAGCATATGAATGCTTCGAGAAAGATTAGAAAAACTCGTGATTTTTTCAAACCAATACGCCAATGATCGAACGAGTTGTCGACAGAATAGAGTTGTAAATCTAAATAATGGTAATAGAAAACGAAGCCAACAAGAATACATGATGTAATGCTTATAAATAATCTTAAACACCAACTGATAAACATATCACATAGACTCTGGAATATAATTTCGTTTTCAATTATCATAAGAAATATACCAATAATACCAAGAATGCACATGTGATTGTTTATCACATGTCTATAAGATAGTGAGAATATTTTCTAGAGACTTTCTTCGTGTAAATCTTTCTTACAGTCGATCGTACAATGCTTTTCGACGATGTAAACGACGACTGACAGTTGCCATTAGGGTTGCATGAGTCGATCGTCGTTTTTCGTTCAACGTTTGATGACTGTGATTTTCTTGCGTTGCCCGCGATGTGTGAGCGTTCGATTCAGGCCATGTTGAATCAGGAATTGTGATGATACTTTCTGGCGGCAATGATGAATGAGGATCAAGTAGTGATATTCTCTCAGAAAATGGCATTATATATGCAAGACCGCGTGATCTGAAACGGAATTACCATGGAAGTTCCGGTATATTTGTATGATAGATATGATACTTCGTTCGTACGTTGTTTTTTGATGTATTGAAATAGTCCAGTTTTGTTGCGAGTGTTTTCGATAAATGATTGCATGCTTCTTTTTCATTCATGCATTATCAGTGTGATGAGTATTTTTGATCGAAACTCAACATTCTTTTCGGACGTTTTCCTCGATTATCTTATGTTTACTGAGTGTGCACATCCATGTAGTATATATATCTTACCCGAATACACGTCATTTGATTTTGTTGGATAAAGTGAGGAGATTTTTTGTGCTTATGGTTTTGAAACTAAGTGTGCACCATATACTATTCTTCTAAATTTCATAATTCGAGAAGATCCGATCGTTCTCAATTTCTTTACAAGAAAAGTGAAGTTTTGTTATGTCGAAAGAACATCGACTTGTGATACTACAGTGTGATGGTAATGAACACTCAGGTCGAAAGCATATATCACTGTTTCCGGATTATGCAGAATAATAAAAATATGATATTTTCCAGATGAAATATTTGAAAATGTGTCCTTTCATACGTTACTATTATCTTCTAGTTTTCCATCCAAACTAAGAAATTTTTCAATTTTGATAATGCGCTCAAAATAATTTTCCAACTCCAAAGCAACCGGAAAGTATGCGAAAAATTGTAGCACTGTTTATTTGAATTCATGAGAATAAATATTCTTATCTCTGCATGAACACTGTAAATAGTCGCGATTATCTTAAATTTTAATCAGACAGGATTTTCAACACGATGAAGCATCAGACGATGATACTGTAGAAACATGTGTTGTGGCGAATCGATGACTTTTCTGAAACGCGTATCCTTCTGCCAATGTACCGTCGCGTGATTCATTGCGAATTGATCGTTCTCTTCTTCCACACAAACAGAATAGATGTGCTTTTTCTTGTCCTTCCATCTATACATATTCCAGTCGCCTGATATTTGGTCTTAGTTCTTCTAGAACGAATGACGCATATATGCGTCGTATGTATAACATGAAAGCAAATCTGTAATCGCTGTGTCATTTATTCTTAATTCGATCATCGTATATGCGTCTCGATCGGGTACGAAGTTTCTTTTCAAGTGAACAGTGTACAGATTGAAGAATATTTTTATTTTGTAGAATCCAGACCGATCTCCCTCACCTGTGTCTTCGTCATCGGACACGGACGATATTGATGACGAACATGAATATGAAGCTGAATTATTAGAAAGTATCGCTGAAAAAGAAGTGGAATTAAACCATACACAAGAACTAATCAACGAGCGAAATAGACAAGTACAAGCAACATTAACTGAACTTCAACAAATTAACAGTATGTTGAAACAATTCGAAACTCTGACATCTGTTGACAAAACTTTGACCCGCTGATCTATAGATACTACCCTTAAATCTGTCAATAATTTCACACTATTTCCTACCTCGTAAGTCGTTTTTTATCAATTTAATAATTAAATGATTCACGATTAAACATATTTCATTCATTCATTAAATCAGTTTGTTTTTCATAATGAAAAATATCTATTCAATATCTTAATTTTCAAACTGTGACTAGAGCATGTAATTAGTCGGCTAGTATAAATTGCATTCAATGACTAAATCACAAGATCCGATATAATAACCTACAACAAATGTTTAGCTGATATCATCTAGAATCCATCGAACTATAACGTTGTTTACCATATTTGACAGTCATGAGATTGTTGACAAATAAAGCAAAAGAACGTATGATTTTGAAACCTTTGTTACACTCTCACTACTGTGGGCCAGTAATAACAGTTTCGTTAGTTAAATTAACTTAATTGCTAAGCATTCAATGATTGTCACTGTTCGCTACATGGATTGTACGTATACGATGATTATATACCGTACTCTCACCCACGCACCCTCTTGCAATATACCACTAGCATCTGTTTTCTTGAAATAATCAACATTTTTATTTATTCTTAAATTTAGTTTCCTCTTCTGTTGTGCATCGGCAAATATTGTATCCTGTCTGAGTGCATTCAGTTGCTATTTGACACGTTCTGATACTTGATTCGCCTCCAAATGCGTGGACAGTTGGCGATATTCCATCATACGCTGATCGATTTTCGTGTGAATTTGTTCAGCTTCTAGATGTTTTATTAGGTTTTTGCTGGTTGTTATTTGAATTGGTTTAACTTGTTCTTCGTTCTGCATGTAGAAGATATACGTATGGGACGAATATCTTGCTCGACATTGATGTATCATCGGTTGATGTTAATTCTGTAACAATACTGAGATCATTATTATCATTGGTTAGAAAAGCAACGTTTTCATTGTCAGTATTGTGTACGACGTATGCTTTTCCATTGGAAAATTGAATGGAAAACTTTCGTACGTCCAATGCATACGCAAACATATCATTGAAGTCATCGTACAATTTCTTGGGTTCTGTTGAATAACGAAAGAGGCATTTTGATACGTACCGAGTATTTGTATTTGAATAAAAAATTGATCATTGACTTCACCGAGTCCAATACCATGGAATGTAACGGGAAGACACTGAACGAGAATCCAAACAGAATAATTCAGTCATTGAGTTTGTTTGACTTACATTTGTTATTTCACTAAGAACTAATATTATCATTTCGACGTTCTTCTTCAGCACTAGATTATTCGGTACACTGTTTTGTCCATTAGTCATGAATATAAAGGCCGTTGCTGTAAATGAAGTACAACCACTGGCTTGTAGATCACCGTTCTGTTCTGACAATGTTTTTAATACGCACTTTGTTTCTGTTGCTGTATTGTATCGCTAAATAGGTAATAATCTTTTTTTTGTACGTTGATAAATATCACATAAAACACGCAGACATAGTGCATTGCAGTATCAGCCATTGATCAACTTGTATCAACACAACATACAATCTCAGCATCAGTGTCAGCAGTAGCATTACTTGGTTGTTCGGAATGTAGTAGTTTGATTTCAGCATAAATTTGTGGATTCGAAAGCGATAGTTCTTGTTTGAAAGGTACATAGTGAAGAAACTAAGCTGAAAATATAACATTCAAATGCCGTGCAATGGTAATTACGTTTTCAAATATTCCAAGGGAAATCACGAAACAACGGCCTACTCAAGGAATAGTTTCATTGTTTTATTTTTTATCACGGTGTGAGGAAAATACTTGACATGTGAATGGTATAGCGTCACATTTTTTTCCAAATTTTATTGTAACTTAAGAAGATTCTGGAGATTCGTCGTCACGAGCTCTTGAGTGACAGCATTTTTTAGACTCAGTTTTTAACTAAAAATAAAATCTGTGTATTTTTAATGTGCAAATATTCTTTTAACCAAGCGCAAGTGTAGTCGTCGCGTTCTATTGATTATATTGACTTAAGGTCAGCAAAAGATTTGATAATCAATTGTTTAAAAAACAGATTGTGTAAAAAGGAGAGTAAGTATTTTCTACTTATCCGAAGATTGTTAATTTATAGCTGAATATCATAGTGCACAGTAAAGAGGACTATTTTGAGTACTTTTATTTATTGGCGAACTGCTAGAAAGGAAATAGAGTAAAGGTTCAATAAGTGGCACACTTCTTTTCAATTGTTAATGTTGTACCATATTCAAAAAAAAAGAGATACTTAAAAAATAATTGTTCATCATGGCATGAGGAAATGGGATGTACTGTATTACCATTCAAGTAGCAACATGTGAGAGATATTTAAAGCACATCTTTGCAGTCATGAGTACGTTTCTGAGAAGAAGAAATAAATGGCATCCTTTAATTTCTATACGAAACAACACATTGTTCGCAATTTAATCTAGCAATATGAGCTATATTGTACATTTCTTTTTTATTTCTCATATCTCTTTCTTCATCATTCCTGCTATATCCACTCGAATCCCAATGATTAGCAATGCTATACTAAAACCAATCTCTGATACAAACAGTACTTTGCTTACTAACACGACCTGCAGTCAGTGTCTTTGTTATTCCAATTTAGCTTATTCGGCTGTAAATTGTTTCACAAACAATAGTTGTCAACTGATTTCACAATATCCGCTTACATATAGTATTGTACTAACTCTCGGCGCTCGTCTATATTTTCCTCGACAAATATTTCCAGACAGCAGTCAAGGTTGCATGCCTAACATTAATATTCTTCTTAGCAAATTGACGTCGGGGAATAGAGCAACGGTCAACATATCCAATCCTTCGGAACTTCTCTTGGATTCTCTTGGCTATATATCAACAATTGATCAATCACGTGGTGCTCTGCGTCGTTTCAACATAACGAATCTTGCACCAGTTGACTCACTTTCAGTTGATACAAGCAGCCAAATGGCTATTGGTTACGATAATGGTATGTACTATTCCAAAGCATATAGTGGTCAAATGTTTATGATCAATAGCACAACCTTAACGATAGTCAATACAATGGCTTCGGCACCTTTCAACCGAGCACGAAGTATGATTTTTATAAACAACAGTCAAACAATGATTGTGACTTCCTACGGATCAAACTGTCTTCTGTTTTTCAATCAAGTAAATACTACCCCAACTAATTACACGTATGTGTCGAGCCAAACGGTCAACTACTCTGGTCCGTACGGAATATGGAAAGTGAATGATTCATTTTTCTATGTAACATCCTATGATAACAATTCGATTTATTCTTACAGCAGAACCTCGGTATCATGGAGAGAAGCATTTGTGTTCCAAGTCAGCAATGTTAGTGTGACCAGTGGTGTTACTCATCTAACGATTGATAAGGACAATCGAATTTGGATATCATCTAGAATGCAGAAAACGCTGGTTTACGATCAACAAGGATCTCTCCTCGGTAGTTATACTATCCCGAATGCACAAATTTTTGATATTAAAATTCTTGATAATTACGTTATGTTCTTTTCTGATCCAGGAGCTGATCGGATCATTCGGATCGATCCAAATATCCAATGTTATTGATATGTATTGTTGTACACACGGGCTCTGTTGTTCAAATTATCAATTGATCAGACAAATATTTGAATATACTGGTGCACATTCCGTTGTATTCACGATCATCGATTTGTATTGGTGAAAATGAAGCCGTTTACACTAGCTAAGACATTCCGATGATATAAACGACACTTTTTTCTTTATTCTATTTCGAATACTTCACAATACAATAGGGTAGAAGTAACATTGAGTGGGAAGTTACCACTGATATTAAATCGATATCAAAGTCAAATATTTGAATAAGTGCAATTTCAGTAGTAATAGTTTATGCATAAATGAAGAACACTATTTAAAAAAATGTTTTGATGGACAAATTCAAGACAAGTGTGGTATATTAGGGAATAGAAAATTTTATTTTTAGTAATCTCGCGTGAGAGCGTATGAATTTATATTGTGCAATAACGAGCATCAGAGAGGCTTGGAGCAACAAGAGCGTAAACTAGAAAACCACCACAATTGGTGACTGAGATTTTCTTTGGCCAAATACAAGACATGCCGTTCCAGTTGAAACAAGCTGTTTGAATTTCTGTCTCACCAACTTCTGGATCAGTCGGATATTTCACCCATCCTGAACCTTCCGACCCACACCGGCCATGAGGAACAGAATAGTTTGCGAGACGCGTACCAGCATCGCCTTCAAATCGAACCCATGTAGGAGACGACTTGAAAAAGGTGTTGTCAGTTTCAGCATCCACATGTTTATTAGTTGTGCGACGAGTACCATCTGTAATTGATTTATAATTCGAACACTGATAAGGAAGATCACTTTCTGTCGTTATTGTAACTATAGAAAGAGAGGGCGTGTCAAATGGAGGATGCAATATTGCACTTGAAAATAGACTCACTAGGTAAGGTTTCTGTCGCTGTGATTGGAATTGGTGATGATGCTGCTGTTACTACAACTGGTGGATCGACTATAAGTGAAATCACAGAAATAGATTTTTATAGTCGTCTAAAATGATATACCGCGCCAAGAGCATTGCTGTAATTGCTGCGACCAAACTAACGGTGCTGGACAACTTTTGAGATAATTGAGACCATTAGAACAATGCCAAAATGTACTGGGGTCGTCAATATTCTCAAACATGCCATCACTTCTGCATACGAACATTCCATAGATACAGTTCGTCAGGAAAAGTAGAACGAGGAGAAATGGTACAGTATGCATTATTATATTTTATATTGATACTATTCCAGATAGATGAAAATAGATGAAGGCATACATTTCTTCACTGAATAGTTTTATATTTTTCAAAATTGGAATTGTTTTTCCAGGTGACTATTAAGTAGACAATCTCTCATTTGCTAATCTTTTAATACTGTATTCATTCGCCGTCATTGAGACAAAGACAAAACAGTATTTTGCATTACTGAAAATGCATCATCATGATAAATGTAACAGTTTACCTTCAAACGGATCGTGAGGTCCTTATTAATGGATAATTATAGAATAATAATGTAGTTTCGCGTGTATCAAGTTTAGTTTTGAATGAAATGCAAAGTCTTTCATGAGCTTTTCCATAGGAACGCTAATGTGGTTAAGCATTTTCCGTAATTTTGTTGGAAAATTTAGGTAGGTACAATTGAATCTACCCATGTTGTCTTGGGAATATCGTGACAGGTGTCACAATGGGCGATAAGCAATTAGGTAGTAGTTAGAGTCTTGAAGGATAGTTTATATCTTTCGCTGTTCTGTTGTCATACCATTCTATTATTCTTCATTGCGAATTGATGTTTAGCTGAAATTTCATGTCCGTTCATGTTACTTCATAGAATTTTCACTAGTAACATAGGGTGTTTTTTAACATCTACTATTAACTGTTAGTTGATAAAAACTACTCTCGTACATGTGTATAGAATCGAAATTTTCTCTGTATTTACGTAGTTTCTAGATGAAGATAAAATTTGTTGCGAAAATAATACAGAGTGCAAAGAAATACGAAGGGAAGCTCTTTTTAGAGTCCGCAAAGTTATTCATGCTAAGCATCTCAGCGATTTCAGTTAATATCCGTTTATATCGATGATCGATATCATTTGATTCCGAAAAAACTATTAAATTTGTAGCGTACGCAAATGAAAGATTTTTGGAAGGTACAGCTAAACCAATACTTCCGCCAGCTCCTACAATAAAAAATATTTTTAGTACAAATATCATAATTAAATCAATAAAAATTACCGAGATGACCAAACACTTCGTGTCCGAACAACGAAAACATTTCGTTCATAATGAAAAATCCCATGCTTAGATTAGTGGTTATATTCAGTAAATAATCCAGTTCATTCTCCGGTGTATTGGATGTCGTTGCTTGTCGAAAGATATCATCGTTTAGTAAACGTTTGTAACGTTTTTTATCATCGACATCGCCAATCAGAGATGCATACAATCGTGCTATCGATCGTGCATTTGTTACACCATTTGCAGCTGGAATTTCTGCTTGACGGAACGCTTTTTCATTAAACTTACTATAAGGTTCTACGAGAGTATTATTTGATCCATCATCAATTGGTTTAATATCTAATAATGATACACGATAGTCTTCTACTGATGGTAAACCGATGTAAAATTCGATATCTAACGGTTGAGCAATCTCTTCTCTGATGAATTGTCCTAAACTTCTTTTCTTTGGATCAACACGTCGAACAAGTTCACCTGCTAACCAGCCATAAGTCACCGCATGATATCCATGTTTGGATCCCGGCGTCCATAGCGGTTGACCTTGTTCTAAGTAATGTACCATTCCCGTCCAGTTATAGTAATCCTCTACCATTCCGGAATCCAGCGGAAGTCCGGCGCGATGTGACATGATATCAGCAACAGTTGTATTTCCTTTATCATTCTGTCCGTATTCGGGCCAATACTTGATCACTAGTTCGGAATAATTCAATAAACCTCGCTGGACGCAGAGTGCAACAGTGGCTGCAACTAGACCCTTGCTCGCGGAAAATACTAGCTGTAGCGTGTCATTTTCGTAAGATTTTAGTCGTGATCTGTTGAACCATCCGCCGTAGAGATCGACAACTAATTTGCCTTGATAATACACTGCAATGGATGCACCTAGTTCTCGTTGTTGTTCGAAATTCTCTTGAAATCTCTCTCGAACGAATTCCCATCCATTGTCAACTGTTCCAGAAATCTTTAGTTTCGTTTGACAACTGAGTATAACTTTAACAATAAGAAGAAAATAAGTATAAATCAAATAATTCATACTTTTACATCGGACAATCGCAAGAAATGATATTCAAATGCTAGTAGAAACTGCTATCAGTTAAATCTGTCTTTCATGACTCATATAAGCGATAACAAATGATGACATTCATGAGTATCCTGTATAAATATTATTGTGTTGTACTGCATCAAGAATATGTAGAGCAAAACTCCGTGTTTGACAAGAAAATATTTCAAAGGTAATCTGTGTGTGCTTAATAAAAACCCAGTTTCTTTATCGAGATGATGAATCGCAATTCAAATATACATGCGGGGCAAAATAGATGTTATATATTGAAAAAATCCTGTATTTTGTATATTAGAAAAAGATACTTAAAATAAAACCCGTATGACTATTAATGACATATATTAAATAGAATATTAATAACTGTTTGTGCATTATTGGCAATGGCAATATCTGGGTGATTATCATTATTGAAATCATGACAAAGAAGTCCTGTCGGTGATTCTCCGACTGGAAATGTCATTTCTGATGTAAAAGTACCATTGATTGAACGAAGGAACACACTTATATCATTACTGTATGTATTTGTAACAACGAGATCTTTTCGATTATCATTATTTAAATCAATCATAGCAGCTTGATATGGATTTAGGCCGGTATTCAGTTTCTCTTGTAATGTGAAGGATCCATTTCCGTCGTTGAGTAGAATGCTAACCGTATTGTCACCGCGGTTGACAGCGACAAGATCCGACTGATTATCTCCATTCAAATCATCGATCAGAATTGAAAATGGATAAGTACCACCTGTCGAAAACATCTTCTGCTTAGCAAAACTTCCATTACCATAACCATACAGAACACTGACACTATTACTCAAATAGCTGGTTACAGCAAGATCTGTTTGGTTGTCGTGATTCAAATCACCGAGAGCGATTCCGACTGGATACGAACCGGTTGGAAAAATTAATGGAATTGAAAAGTTTCCATGGCCGTCACCAAGATAAACACCGATGTTATCACTAGCAAAATTAGTGACGACTATATCAGCATGGTTATCATGATTAAAATCGCTGACTGCAATCCAATATGGAGTCAAGCCTGTTGAAATTGTTCTGTGTGTTGGAAAACTTCCATTGCCGAAGCCTAGTAACAAACTAATTGTATTATCTATCGAATTAACAACAACGATATCTAATCGTTGGTCACCATTAAAATCACCCACAGCAAGTCTCTGAGGAGCGATTCCTGTTGGGAAAGTTTGTGTCGATGTAAAAGTACCATTGACACTAGCAAGAAGTATGCTAATACTGTTACTACCGGAATTAGTAATGGCAAGATCTGTTTGATTATCACCATTAAAGTCCGCAGCAGTAAACGATGTTGGATATAAACCCGTCGCGTATGAAATTTTTGATGTGAAGGATGGATGACACGTATCTTAATAGAAAGAGTACTCGTTTTGTGCTATCAGCGAAGCTCGCCGTATCGATCGTCTTTCTCAACGTACCTACTGAAGGACGCGAAGTCATCCATTCTAACGGTAAACATATCGCTTTTGGCACGCGGCAGAATTGAATAACATATGAAGATGTGCCCGACGGACATTCGTTTGTACTATTGAAGCAAAATTCCAAGATCGAACAAAGATTTGCCGCGGATATTCGATGGTCGTTAAAATAAAGTGCGTTCAGTGGACAACAGTTATCAAAGTTCTGCTGTCTCGTATTGTATTGATTCTCAAAATTTGGGTCAGATAGATGGATAATTCGAATAATAAAAATGATCGAATACTCCAAAATTAAAAAATCGATGTATACGTATATGATAATAAAGGAGAAAATCAAGAGAAAAAATCTCATGGGCAACATCAGTAATATATTATCAAATAATAAATACCGTTCTTAGTAAAATGGATGCATTTTCTTCTTCTTCTTGATTCGGTATATAATATTCCATAAATATTTAATTTTCAATATCGTGCTACTGTCAAGTGAAAACGATTGACATTTATCAACGAAGAAAATTTTACCGATACGTCATACTAATACTTACAGTTTGATTGTGTGGCAGATTCTTACTACTTTTACACAACAAAATGGACTTAAGGACAAAGGTGAGAAATCAAAAGAAAGTATAGACTACTGGATGTTTGTATATAAATAACGGAAGAAGATGGCTGTCACTGATGTTTGACGAAAAAAAAATGGAAGCAAATAAAAGTAATCAACGTTTGAGATTAAAAAAAAACTTGAAAATGGTTGGAAAATAATGAAAAAAATTTTATTAATTGTTACTAAAATCAAAAGCTATCAAATGAACAGAAAATATGACAAATACATGTCTACTAATATAGAATGCATGGCACCTAGTTTGACCATATAATTGATCACTAACTAAAAGTAGCAAATTCTAAATCAGACAATGATTAGATATTGAATACTTGTTTAGTTATTCTTCTATAACTATTTATCAGCTTTTTCTGTGTTTCATTCAGTTCATGTGCTCGTTTTCCACGATAAAATATAGATGAATATTTTCCAATACTCCAT